GGGCACTGGACGCCCCCTGCAGGACCTGTAGATTGAGAACCTCAAAGAGATGGATTGAAAAGGCAGCCAGAAAACAAACCCGTCCAGTGTGGTGGCTCCGACCTGTACTCCTACCACCTTGGGAGACCAAGGTGGGCAGATCACTTGAGCCCAGGAGTTTGAAACCAGCCTGGCAACATGGAGAAACCCCACCTCTATTAAAAATACAAAAAATTAGTAGGGTATGGTGGCACGCACCTGTAGTCCCAGCTACGTGGGAGGTGGGAGGTTAGCTTCAGCCCGGTGGTTGCAGTGAGCCAAGATCACGCCACTGCACTCCAGTCTGAGTGACAAAGCGAGACCCTGTCTCAAAAAAAAAAAAAAAACAACCCACTATACACAAATACATAATGCTGACACCCTTACCCACCTACATGTCGGTACCCACACACATACATACACAGGCACATAATCAATCACTAAGCCAATCATTCACATACATCAAGAACACACTACAATCGTTTAAGCCTATAATCATAGTACAAACACAAAGGCACTCCCTGTTCATGTTCCCGATAATAGAATATAGTTATCTCTTCCCCATTGATCCAGAATAGAACTGGCAAACTCTGGCCCATAGGCCAAATGCAGCCTGCCACACCTGTTTCTGTAAATAGAGTTTTATTGGAATACATCCATGCTTATTCATTTAACTATATCTATGGCTGCTTTTGTGCTACAATAGCAAAGCTGAGTAGTTCCTACAGAGACTGGATGGCCCACAAAATCTAAAATATTTACCATCTGGCCAGCTGTGTTGGCTCACACCTGTAATCCCAGCACTTTGAGAGGCTGAGGCGGGCAGATTACAAGGTCAGGAGTTTGAGACCAGCCTGACCAACATGGTGAAACGCTGTCTCTACTAAAAATACAAAAATTAGCCAGGTGTGGTGGCGGACACTTGTAATCCCAGCAACTCAGGAGTCTGAGGCAGAAGAATCACTTGAACCCGGAAGGCAGAGGTTGCAGCGAGCTGAGATCATGCCACTGCACTCCAGACTAGGCAACAAAGACTCTATCTCAAAATATATATATTTACTATTTGGAAATTTACAGAAAGTTTACCAATCCCTGATTCAGACTCAGCTTCAGAATTGAAGTTGGTAAGTGAAACAAGGCTAATTGCCTTTAGTGTCTTGGCATTGAAAGATGATCAAAGAAATAAATGGGGCTGGGCATGGTGGCTCACACCTGTAATCCCAGCACTTTGGGAGGCCAAGGCAGGTGGATCACCTGAGGTCAGGAGTTCAAGACTAGCCTGACCAACATGGAGAAACCCTGTCTTTAAAAATAAATAAATAAATAAATAAAATCATGCTGACGGTATCTGCAATGTGAGAAAGAAAAGAAACTTATTTTTTAATATATAAAAAAAGAAAGAAATGGATGGGACCGGTGGATGGATGGATGGACAGTTGGACACATATAGGTAATAAAGCAGAGTTTTGCTCCAAATATCAGTGTTCTGCTGGATATAAACTGGGAAATCTTGGGGAAGATCAACATGCAGGTCTCAGGGAGTCTGTAAAGGAAACTGAATTCATGTTGTGAACTCAAAAGTATCTGAGACAGGTCTCAATCAATTTAGAAAGTTTATATTGCCAAGGTTGAGCACACACCCATGACATGACACAGCCTGAGGAGGTCTGACAACACATGCCAAAGATGGTTGGGGCATAGCTTGGCTTTATACATTTTAGGAAGGCATAAGACATCCATCAATATGTGTAAGATGTACACTGGTTCAGTCTGGAAAGGCAGGACAACTCAAAGTGGGGGCTTCCAGGTCACAGGTAGGTAAGAAACAAAGGTTGTATTCTTTTGGGCCTTTGATCAGCCTTTCATTGAATATACAATTTACATGGAGTGGGAAGTAAAGGAATAGTCACACCAATGCCATAGCCTGGCTCAGTGGATCTGCATTTTTGCATAAACAATAGGGCAGAAGAAGCAATCAGATATGCATTTGTCCCAGATGAGCAGAGGGATGACTGAGTTCTGTCCTTTGTCCTGCACCTGTGAAGATAAGCTATCAGCTTACATTGCCAGGGTGAAATTCAACACAACTGTTTTAAGGTAAAGATCTTGAAGCCCACAAGGAATTTCCTTGCAGCATTTTTTTTTTTTTTTTTTGAGACAGTCTAGCTCTGCTGCCCAGTCAAATGATTCTCCTGCCTCAGCTCCCAAGTAGCCAGGATTACAGGTGCCCACCACTACACCCAGTTATTTTTTTGTATTTTTAGTAGAGACGGGGTTTCGCTGCATTGGTCAGGCTTGGTCTCAAACTCCTGACCTCATGATCTGTCCACCTTGGCCTCCTGAAGTGCTGGGATTACAAGTGTGATCCACTGTGCCCAGCCAGATATGTAGCTCTTTTACCTTTGTAGTTATCTCTCAGGAATAAAATGGGAGGCAGGTCTGCCTGACACAATTCTCAGCTTGACTTTTGCCGGGAACTCTTGTCCAGCAAAAGGATTCCAACATGAGTGGGGGGTGCGCAAGAAGAAAGGGAGACAGTAAAAGCGGGGTCAGGAGGGTTGAGGAGTTAGTGCTCCAACAACAACTTTATTCTTCCAAGGCTCAGAATATATACATTCTCAAGATCTTACTGACGTCAAGTATCTAAATCACAAGTTCCATACAATAAATTGACAGCTAAGCAATAAGTGGCTATAGAAAATAATAATATTTTTGGTGCTCAAAAATATATTTATGTAGCAAGAAACATTGTTCCTCATGACTGCACGACCATCTGGTTTTGCCCATCTAGTTATCTTTTAGCTAGATTCTCCTTTTTTTGTCCCTGTCTTCCTTATGTCGACTTCCCCTTCTGGGGATACTGCTTCTGGGCTCAACCTCCCGTATTGTGAAGCCTGCTCTGCAAGCTTTCACACGGGAGGGCTCCCAACAGACTTTCCCCTTACCTTAGTGATTTGGGGGTCCTGAGATTTATACTCCTTTCACAGTGTCAACATCCAGGTCCAAGTATGAACCTGAGACTGCACATATGCCAAATGGGTGAGCCCCTGTAGTGACTGTATGTCCTGTGTGACATAGGTATACCTGTTCATTGTATGCATTCCTTTGCAGTCTATGTGTGTGCCTGTGTGGTGTGGGTACGCCTGTCTCCTGTGTGTGCAACTGGGTGATGTGGATGTGCCTGTACCCCAGCTGTTCCTATATGTATCAGTACCTGGATGGGTCCTGGAGCCTCTGGCTGCTTTTCTCTTTATAGGCTCTGTCTCTCAAGCCTGGACTTCCCAGAGGAAGACAAGAACAGTGAATGTGGGTGGAGGAGAGGGCAACACTAAAGCTGTAGCAGGCACTGGACACAGATATCCCAAGTTCAGTCATCTTAAGCCTTTCCATCTTAAGCCCTAAAGCTAATGCTCACCCCCTAGCTCTGGGTGATGCCAACAACTCTGAGGACTCTGCCTTTAGTAAACCAACACCCAATTCCTGGGGACATTTTTGGTGCCTTTTGCTGCCTCCTCCTTAGGGATGGCTGTGGAGCACTTTGTCCTATGAGTGAGGGGTGAAGAATGTCCAGTCTCCTCCCTTCCTAATCACTTCCTCCATCATCCAGGTCTCCATTCACCATCTTAATTCCTTCACTTCTCCTTGCCCAAACCCTCCCACAAGGAAGCCCCTAAAACAGGGTCCCAGATGTGGTCCCTAGCATGTGCCCCTCACACCAGGGCCTTTTGGGAAGCTGAGTTCTAGGGCTCCATTCTCTCTGACTCCAGATTCAGCACACTGAGAGGCACCCTCTAGACCAGCCTGGATGGATTGCACAATCTGGAGACTGCAGATCTCTACCAAAGCAAGCCTGGCCCTCCCAGTCCTGTCTGTCCCCTCTGAGCCCCTGTCTAAGATTCCAGCCCATGGCCCTTCCTCTCTTTCCTTTCCCAAAGCAAGAGCCATAGCAGTTAGCCCATGACAGTGCCAGAGGGAGCCCTGGCCTGGGGAACCAAGGACCAGAAGGGAGACCAGGCCTCCAGCTCCTCAGCACCAGACCTGACCCAGCCAGGCCTGGAGTGTCAACGTGAGTGTGAATGTGAGTGAAAGGGTGAACATGGTGAGAGCACAGCTTCCCAACTCCCAGACTGCAGTGTGTCCAATAAAACCACCTGACACCCATGGATCTCTCTGTCTGCTGTCCGTGTGTGGCTCAGACAGGGGAAGACAAGTATGAGAGGGAGAAAGAGGATGGGATGGGGGAGATAAAGGGGTATCCATTTCTCACATTTCAACCAAAGGAAACTTTTACCCTACTTATTTCTGATCACTCCCTCCTATACAGTCAGCCCAGCCACAAGACTGTCTTTCCCCGTACTCAAACAAACTATGGCTCAGTATTGGGCCTTGGCTGGGATGTCAGGGGTCTGGGGGTGGCTATTTCCAACCTCCCACACTGGGTTAGTTGCCCTTTCTTGGCTCTGGTACAGCACCTTCTACTTCCTCCAGCCAGCCTGCTCCATTTTTTGTAAGGATCTGATTGTTCTCTTTTGATCCTCCCAGCTCTACCCTTCCTCTTTCTTCTTTCTTCTTCTTGTTCCTTTTTTTTTTTGAGATGGAGTCTCGCTCTGTCACCAGGCTGGAGTGCAGTGCTGCGATCTCCCCTCACTGCAACCTCCACCTCCCGAGTTCAAGCGAGTCTTCTGCCTCAGCCTCCCGAGTAGCTGGGACTATAGGCGCATGCCACATGCCCAGCTAATTTTGGTATTTTCAGTAGAGATGGGATTTCACCATGTTGGCCAGGATAGTCTTGATCTCTTGACCTCATGATCAGCCCACCTCAGCCTCCCAAAGTGCAGGGATTACAGGTGTGAGCCACTGCACCTGGAAACCTGTCTTCTTTACTGCTATCTCCCCATGCCCAGCACAGTGCCTGACACACAGGTGGTCATTCAGCAAATATTTGTTGATTGAATGACTGTAGGAGGAAAAAAAAAAAACACAGGAAGATAGGTCTTAGGCCAGAGAGGAAGGGCAATGGCCCATTCAGTGGCCATTCGGTGACTTAGCCGAGGCCACTCAGCCAGGTATTTCCGTAGCCTGGCCTTTTCTGGACTGGACTCTCTCTAAGGACCTCTTCCTCCTCAGCCCAGCATCATACAAGGGCAGAAAGGCAGGCAAGAGAGGCACTTGGCAGGGCAGAAGCCAGGGAGGGGTACAGGAGGCATGGGAATTGGGGAAACAATACTGGACTGTGTCCCAACCCTCTTTTCTTGCTGCCTGGTGCATAAGCCTCGGCCTTATGCTCCAAAACCAGACTCCACACCTATAAAAGACGGTCCTTTGCCTGCATCTTAATCAACTGACTCCGCCCCTGACCTCACCCCCTAGGATGACGTTTAGACTTCGCCTCCTCCGGGAGACATGCAGACCCCACCCCTTCCGGGGGACAGGCAAGCCTAGTGCACAACGGCATCCCTGTGACGTAACGGTAACGGTCCGTTTCCGGGATGGAGCCAGGGAGGGCGGGAGTTTAGGCTGCGCTGACCCCTCTCAGCCCCCCCTCCAGGTGACCCTAGCCTCTGAAAATCCTCACCCAGGGCCCAAATCTCCCAGCCCCATGACCGCCAAACCTCTCTCGCCCAGGCCCGGGAGATGACCGGCCTCCTCACCCCTTAACTTCTAGTGCTTCCCAAATCTCCAAGCCCACCCTGTCCCGCGGTGGCAACTGAGGCTTCCCGGGGGCATCAGCCTCAGATTACCTGAGAACCGGGCAGCCTCGTCCTGAGCATGACGGAGAAGGGGACCTGAGGCTAGGGAATCCCTGATTCAATCATGTCACTCCCCAGGAGACGTTCGGAGCCCAGGACATGTCGGGAATGAGGAGATACGAGGTGGCGCTGGAGGCGGAGGAAGAGTGAGTGGAGGCGGGTTCTGCGGAGGAGGAACCAGGAGGCTCCGGGGTGGGGGAGGGTGGAGTTCTGCGGGGGCGATGGGTGGGCGGGGCGAGCCTACGAGGGGCGTGGGCTGCGAACGGAGCCGCTTTTAGGGGCGGGGCTAGGGGCGGGGCGGAGCCTTCCTCGAAGGCAAGGCACCGCAGGGCGGAGTCTGTGGGGTCAGCTCCGGCCCGCCCCCGCCCGGCCCGGCTCTGCCCTCTCTTTGCAGGATCTACTGGGGCTGTTTCTACTTTTTCCCCTGGCTGCGCATGTGGCGGAGGGAGCGGAGGTGAGGGGGCTGCGATACCGCGAACCCGCCCCGGGCATGGACGAGGCTCAGTCTCTGAGGACCCATCAGGGGGAATCCGGTAGCTCCCTCCCCGCCTCATGCCAGTGTCGCGTCGCCCCACAGCTCGGCGCACCCCGGGGAGCAGAAGCTGGAGCCTCTGCGAGGCCTGATGAGCTGTCTGTCCAGCGGCCTGGGCCCTGCTCCCCAGCGCTCGGGTCGTGGCCTCCCCCGCCGCAGCCCCGCCGCCGCTGTCCAGCCAGCCAGTGCATTAAAGATTTAAACTGAAGCCCACTGTACTGACCTCCTGACTCTGCCGCCGCTGTCGCCATTCGAGCTGAGCACTCCTCCCCACACTGGCTCTGTTCCGTACTGACAGGGCATCCCTTCCTGGAAGGGTGCCCTTCCATCTCAAAGCCCCTCATCAGTGTCAGTCCTCCTGTTACCATCAATGATTGTCTCCCCAACCCTACTCCCCAAAAACCCATACTGTAAGTAGCCTATATGAAGAGAACGAAATAATCCTGCCTGTTACTCCCTTCCTCGGAGCCAGGACTTTGCCAACTGTCTGAAGAATCTTCTCCTCTGGAAGTGTATCTAAAACATTTTAAGAAGAGGTGTAGGATGCAGGCTGTAAATGAGAAGAGGGGGAGATTCCTAGAAGCTGCCTGTCACAGGGTAACGACTTGGGTTTGTGACCTTTTCAATAGTTCATACTCCAACTTTTGGCTCCTCCAGTCTGATCCCAAGTTTAGACATCCTTGGCATCAGCCTACCTAGCAGCTCTTGCTACCTCCTAGGAGAGTCCAAAGGCTACTGCTCTCTGCTGCCCCCTTCTGTCACCCAATCAGCCTGGGACCCACTAACTCCTCAAGTGGTGAGAATCAGGGACTGCCAGGTGGGCCTCCCTTCATTTAGGGACTGGCCCCAGCACCAGAAAGGGCAACACAAGATTAAGCTAAAGAAAGAGACAGCCCAGTTGCTGGCTGGGGCCAAAGCTGACTTTCAGCCTGGAGCTATCCCTGCTACAGCAGATTGTGGCTGGAGAGAAGACTTGGCCTTAAAGGGGAGAGATGGGTGCACACCCATAAGCATTTGCTTTCTGCCTTCCAAAGGCCTCTGGACTGATAAGTCAAGGAAAGACCAGAAAGTATGTAGCACACAGCCAACTGATGGAGAAGGTCTATGACAAACTGAGGTACCTGGGAGATTTCCTTGGGATTTCCTCAGTGGCTACACCCAAGCCTTGGGGCACAAGTCTGGACTGGAGGGTGGGAGAGGGAATGTAAGGCCCCTGGTACCAAAAGTTCAAGATAAGTGACCTCTGGTCTATGGTCACCTTCAAGAAAGCACCCAAGCTCTTTCTCCACCTCAAAGACCCCTTCATCTATCTCTCAGACTTCTTGGGGTTTAAAAAAAAAAAAAAAAAAGGCCCCCTCAAATGTGAAGTGCACTGTCCAGCCCTGGGCCGACCCTTCACCAGGATGCGATCAGAAAACCTGAAGATCCTGGAGAAAAACTCCAGGGAGGGACCTTCATGCCTCACCCTGGACAGAAGGGAGGAGAGGTTCGAATTTTCAGCATGGAGCATGGCTAGTCCCTAATTTGGGAACTGAAGGCCCTCCTGATTGTTGAAGCAGCCCTGCAGCAGAAAGGGCTGCCCAAAGAAAAGCATAAGCCCTAGAGAGTGGCTGACCCTAGAGCAGAAGACTGCAATAAGATAAGGGGTGGATTAGTGCATTATGACTTAGCTTGTTTCAAATACAGAGCAGGACTTGCAGATTGAGATCAAGAGTGGGAAATTCATCAAGGATCCAGGGGCACTAAACTCAGCAGCATAGCCCCAGTCTAGGCAGTTCCCAAATTCCTGGAAAGGACTGGATAAAGATGAAAAGGAGCTTTGCATTGCAGGGAGTGGGGAAAGAAGGGAGTGATGGCTGGGTATGGGATTAGGAGAGAAGGGGCTATAGCTAGAGGGTGGGATGCAGGGGGTGTAGGAGTTGGACATGAGATTGTTACTGAAGCCGGGTAGGGAGTTGGGATGTTCCTCCAGGCCCAGGAAGGAGGCTGGAATTTGAGTAGAACAAAGATGTAACTGAGTCTTGAGCCTAATGTCTTCAACAAGTCAGGGACTGTATCTGGAGACCCCCAGCTCCCTGCTGACAAGAGGTTGGCATTCCTGGAACAGGACTAGGCAAAAACAGGAAGGTAAGATTTACTGGGCCTTTTACCTGTTTTGACAACAGCAACCTAGCACCAAAGAGCTTTTATCTTCCTTTTTATCTACCCCACCTTTCCTCCCTGTCTCATCATCCTGGGGAAATCTGCCCAACCTCAGCATCTCCAAAGCACCCTTACACTCATATACCAATAGCCACACATTCACACTCATATACCTTCCCCCAGTTTCTCTGAATGTGGCTGGCCTCAGCCAAGACGCCACCTCAGCATCCACTTGGATGATGTTCCTCAGTAGCTTGTCTGAGAGTGGCTTTCCAAGAAGGGCCTGCTCTAGGGACTCATTCCCATCAGTTTCTCCTGATAAGACAGGCAGGCCAGGGCAGGAAGTGGGGAGAAAATGAAGGCACGTTGGTGCTGGTTAGTCCTCTGCTCCCACCCCACCCACAACTCCCCCATCAGAATCTGTGTGTGCTAGTGTGAATTTGCATGTGATTAGATGACTGTGAAAACACAACTGGGTGGGAATGGGACTTTGAGTATAACTGGAGCTCTATAATTTTGTCTATGGTTGTCTGATCATGAGTATGACTTTGTGAGGTTGACCAAGTAATCAAGGAGTGAATGTGTGTGGCTATGGGTATATGAGTGTGAATGTCTATCATTAGATGCCACTGCGGATGCTTGACTGCCCTTACTCACTGTTCCATCAGTCCCTACATCACACACTAATTCTTCCCCCAGCTTGGCTGCCCAGAGCTTAGGAGCCCAAGGGAAATGGCAGTCCAAAATGAGGAAGGGGTCTGTAGCAACAGGCTAAGAATTAGGGCCCAGAAGTGTCACAGGATATGTAATACATCTCCAACTGCCTCTGACTCACCTAGTGCCCCAGGTAAAAGACACCCAGATAAAAGGTAGGGGAGGAGGAGGAGAGAGAAGGAAGAATCTAGGCTGAGCAGCATGAAGGGACCCTCAACCTTCTGTAGCCTCCTGCTGCTGTCACTGCTCCTGAGCCCAGACCCTAGAGAAGGTGAGTACTTGGGGGTATAGAAAGCTGGGGGTCTGGGTGAATGGGATGAAGTTCAAAAGACCAGGAAATCCAGCCAAACCTCCAGCCGTCTGGCAGAGAGGTTCTTGGTCAGGATCCCTCTGAACACGTGGCCCATTGCCTCCTAGCATTGATACTGCCACCCAGCACTAGCTGCTGTACTCAGCTCTACCGAAAGCCACTCTCAGACAAGCTACTGAGGAAGGTCATCCGGGTGGAACTGCAGGAGGCTGATGGGGACTGTCACCTCCAGGCTTTTGTGTAAGCTCCCACCCCTGATACCCCTGACTCTGACCTCAGTCCCGATCCCTAATGCTGATCCCAACCCCAACCCTAACTGCTAATTCTGATGCCAACTCAGGTTTTCATCTGGTCCTTGCTCCTAACCCCTGGACCCTAATCTCATCCCCAAGCTATGGTCACAGCTTTGGACCTTTCTTTACCCAGACTTCACCTGGCTCGACGCAGCGTTTGCATCCACCCCCAGAATCGCAGCCTGTCTCGGTGGTTTGAGCATCAAGAAAGAAGGCTCTAGGGGATTCTGCCGAACCTGAACCTAGGGAAAATGGGCTGAAGCCCCCAGTAGCAAAAATAATAAAGTAACATTGGATGATAATCTCTAAGTATAATCTCCAAGAACTTTCTTATTCTCTTTATTCACACCTGCACAATCCCTGCAATGGAAAAGGCCAAGAGCCAAGGACCCACACACACTCCCCAGGCACCTACAAACATGCATGCAGAGAATATATGTTCCCTGCCTCACAGACACATGGTCACATATGGATACAGACGTATACATTAGACACGTTCCTGGAGCAGAACTCCAACTCTGCGGTGAAATTAGAGATACAGGCACCTTTCAACTGGCAAATTTGAAATATAGGGTCGCAAAGAAATGGGCTCCAAACAGAACTTCCAGCTGATTCCCCAACCATAGGGATCTACTGTCCTGCCTGGGTTTTGTCCATCCATCCACACCAGCAAGACAGAATTATAGGTGGAATCCGCCGAAACCCTCCTGGGTCCTCTACAGGTTTGGAACTCCTAGAAGAAGCAGGAGGCAAATCAGGAGACACAGTAGGACTGGATCTTGACCCAGATACCCTAAGAATGAGGGAGGTGACTCAGTTCTAAGCCCAACACTCTGAAGATGAGTAGAGGAGCCCAGCTCTGAGAGAGCCTCTTCAACACCCTGAAGATAAGGGAATGGACTTAGTAGCTCTAGGAACAGGCACATCAAGAATGAGGGAGGGGATGCTGGGGCGCGGTGGCTCATGCCTGTAATCCCAGCACTTTGGGAGGCCAAGGTGGGCTGATCACAAGGTCAAGAGATTGATTCCATTCTCGCCAACATGATGAAACCCCATCTCTACTAAAAATACAAAAATTAGCTGGGCATGGTGGCACATGCTTGTAGTTCCAGCTACTCAGGAGGCTGAGACAGGAGAATCACTTGAACCCAGGAGGCTGAGGTTGCAGTGAGCAGAGATCATGACACTGAACTCCTGGACAGCAGAGCAAGACTCCGCCTCAAAAAAAAAAAAAAAAAAAAGAATGAGGGAAGGGACCCAGCACTGATCCAAGACACCTAGGAAAAAAAGGATGAATATTCAGCTCTGAGTCTAATAGTCTAATAACCTGGAAGAGTATTAATACTAATGCCCTGGAAGGGAGCCCATCCAGGGTCCTCAGTAGGTACTGAGACCCTGAGGTACTGAGAAGGGGAAAAGACCCACTTCTGAGCCCAGGGACTCAAGAATGAAAGGCCCAGCTCTCAGCCTAGACATCATTAAAATAAAGAGACCCAACTTGGATTCCCAGCATGTTTAAAATGACTAGGGCTGCCAGTTCTTAATCTGGACATTCAAAATAGGGGCATACATCTCCAAGTCCAAATCTTCTGGATGTCCTACCCACCTGGACGCCTGTCCACTGGAATCATTGGGGACAAGAACCCAGGCTTCAGGGATCCATCCTTCCCGCTTTGTCTCAGCCTCAGCCTGGGGCATAGAAAGGCAGCTGTCTCTCCAACAATGTGGGGTCTCAGTCTCCTCCAAAGGGTTTATTAGTAAAGGGTCAGGAGAGGAATCAGTTATAATCAGGTGAGGCATGGGGGATGGAGGTGTGGGGAGGTAGTTCCAGAATCAGATAAGTTCAGTGGGCAGTCATGAAGGGTGGAGATCAATGTGGTCTATGGGCATCAGAGCATTTGTGAGGATCAGAGGCTGAAGGATCAATGGCAGTCACTTACCAGAGCCCCAGTGCCAGGGCCCCAGCCACCAGTCCTAGAAAAGAAAGGACTCCCAAAGACGCCAGCACAGCTACCTGCTCCATAGAGTCCCTGTGATCTGAGGGGGAGGGCCACATGTCACTGAGAGCAAGCCTGACCAAGCTCAGTGTCCCCTTTTCTCTGAGGTTTTCAGTCCTTTACACCTCTTGCCCATCTGCCCAAGCTCACCAAGTAGCTGAGGGTGTGGCTGAAGGGACGGTCTCGGAGGAGCAGGGCTGTCCTCCTGAGGCTCCGCCTCTGGCTGTATGTGTAGCTGGTCCCCAGCTGGTACCTCCTTTGGTATAGTCCCTAAAGGAAGGCAAGACCCGATAAGTGTCCACACACTGGTGGGGGTGGGGCCCATGTCCTGCACTCAAAGCCAAGGCATAGATTGGAAGTTAGGGTGCCTAGAAGGAGGAGCCTGAAAGGGCATGGCCAGCTCCTAGAGAGCATGGCAAGCTCCAAGCTTGTAGAAGTGGAGCCTGTAACTGCAGGGGCAGAGGCCAAGAGGCAGAACTTAAGCTAAGACAGGGCTGTAGGCAACCAAGGATAAAGCCTGGGACAGCAAAAGCGGTGCCGGCATGGGCAGTGCATGTGCCACCTGGCTGTCTTTTGGAATCAGTTCAGCTAAATGATGTTTTGGGATGGGGCCTCTGCCCTTTTCTTTGGCTTTGTCTCTCACCAGTGCTCGGAGTTCCCCAGGCCTCAGGGCTCCAGGTGCTCCAGGTGCCAGCATCCAGAAAGTCCCGGGCACTGACTCGTACGGCATGGGGCAGCCCAGCCACAGCATCTGTGATCACCTCCTCCAGTCCAGCTGGCTCCAGCTGGGGGTGAACATGGCTTATTGTTACCTAGCTTGTAAGTGCAGGGCCTACCCAGCCACAATCTGCAAAGAGCACCCCTTGCTCCCAGTCCTGTCCTAAAGCCTAGTGGAGTTGTCTAGGCCTCATGTTGGGTGTCTGGTGGGGTTGGGTCTACACCTAGTATTTGTAAGACGGCAGTAGTGATTACTTCGTGATTATGGCATCAAGTGGCCTGGCTTCAAATATTTTCTGAACCACATATTGAATGACCCTTTGGGCTTCTCTATGACTCAGTTTCTTCATGTGTAAAATCGGGGTGGATATACTTAAAATAATGTATGCAGAAAGTGTAGCCAGGTACCCCACAGGCAGGCAGCACTAAGTAAATATTAGTTATTATCTGATGCTGCTGCTCCCCAGGCCTGATACCAGCCAATCTTTAAGATCTCCCGAGATGCAAATTCACTGCTAACCTCAGCTAAGAATATGAGTGTTTGTAGGAATGTGCCTCTAGGTGAAAGGCACTCCTTTTCCTAAGAGTTATTTTTTAAAAGCCATTGCTGTCTTCCCAGAGATGGGCTTTACATCATAGTTACAGCCCCACAGGACAGACACTCAGCCTGTCAGTCACCACTACAACCCAGCACCAAGCCTGGCCCACAGGGAAGTGCTGGGTCTTCAATGACCTGCCAGAACCCGGAAGCTACACTGAACACTCAGTCATGAAATCAGAGACAGGACCCACAGCCACGGGTTGGGATGCATTCCAGGCCTCACCATGGACCAGACTAGATGCTGCGCCGGACGGTACTGCAGCCGGAACTTGAGCAGGAAGTGAGGCTGGCGGGGCCAGGAGGCAGGGTATGTCCAGCTGGCTCGCAGGCGTCGGGGGTAACCTGGTACCGACTCTACCCGCAGGCCCTGGGGTGGGTCAGGGCGCACTGAGGGCATCAAGACACAAAGTCAGGGTAGACTATGGGTCTCCATCACTTCCTCACCACTTCCCAAGGTGTGTGTTTAAAGGAGGCTTAGCTGAACACTGCTGAGAGGGGAAGGGAAATCTTAAACTTGATCACCTATTAGGCTTATCTGTATTATGAAATGGGCTGAGGCTGGGTGTGCTGGCTCACGCCTGTAATCCCAGCACTTTGGAAGGCTGAGGCGAGAGGATTGCTTGATGCCAGGAGTTTGAGACCAGCATGAGCAACACAGCAAAACTCTGTCTCTGCAAAAAATTTTTAAAATTAGCAAGACATGGTGGCACGTGCCTGTAATCCCAGCTTCTTGAGAGGCTGAGGTGAGGGGATAGCTTGAGCCTAGGAGTTGGAGGCTGCAGTGAGCTAGGATCACACCACTGCACTTTATCCAGCCTGGACACTAAGTGAGACCCTATCTCAATAGAAAAAGGAAAAAAGAAACCAGCTGAGATCTGTGGGTAGGCTTTTGAAATGTCTGTTGAGTGAATAAAAGAGCAATTCTTCTTTTCATCCATGGAAGGTGAGTTGGCCCAAATTCCAGCTACAGTTTTAGTGTACCATTCCCACTCACAGATCAAGGAAGGAGGGGCCAGCAAGGGAGGACATAACATAAAGCTGCATTCAGTTCAGGGCCCAGGACAGGGAGTCGGCCCTGAGGCTAGGCAGCCAATCAGGCAGTGTGGGCAGCAGCAGCAGCCTCTAGAGTATGTGCTGTGTGGTAGTGGAGAGATCTAAGTCCATTTTGAGGTCTCTGTGATGGGGGTCTGTGGAAGGTCTACAGGTGGGTACTCACAGATGCTCTGCAGGCTCACATCCAGCAGGCGTGTGCTAGCACCCAGTGGGTTCATTTCAGTCACATTAATCCGGTACTGGCTCCAGAACTCAGCCCCATGGACCACACAGCGGGCAGCCCCTAGGGGGTCCTGTGGGCATGGCCAGGGCTCTGGGGATGGACTCTTCCTAGAAGGAAGGACATGGTCTTGGGCTTTGAAAATACCTATTGTGGGACCCATATGGAGCCCCGACACGCTCCCTTATGTCCTACCTCTGGCTATCAGCTCCTAGGACTGTCTTCTTCCTGGTGGAGAGGGGGCCATCTGAAGTCGGGAAGGAAAAGAGGGCCTTCTGCCCTCTCTGAGGTTTTCCTCAGAACCTACCTCCCTGCCTCCCACACCCACATTGTGCCAGCATACCCAAATGTGTAGGCATCCACACCCAATCACACACACACCTGTAGGAGGTGAGGTAGCGGGTGGGTAAACCACTGATCTGGCTGGGACTCCACGTGCAAGAGAAGTTCTCATAGTCGGCTGCTTGGCAGGAGACAACAGGGCGGGCTGGGGGGTCTAGAGGCAGAGGGTACAGCTGAAGACTGAGCAGCACTCAGGTCCTCCTGGTCCCAGAGGGCTTACTCAGGTCCCATACTCCCTCAGGATCCCCATGTACCATCACTGCCATCCCCACAACTCACAGCCCAGCTGCAGGATCACAGTGCCCCCAAGGGTACCATCCAGGGTCCGGCAGATGTAGGTGCCCTCATCAGTGCTGTCTGCCTGGGCCAGGACCAGTTCATGCCCTAGCCCAGAGTCAGGTCCCTGGAGCAGCCCTGGCTCCCCATCCCGAAACCAGGACACTGGGTCCCTGGAAGTAAGATGAGGTGACGATGGACAAACACAAGATACCAAGCATAAATCAAACAATGCCACAGTTCTCCATTGGCTTCTTTTTTGATACGGAGTCTCGCTCTATTGCCAGGCTAGAGTACAGTGGTGCGATCTCAGCTCACCGAAACCTCTGACTCCCTGGTTCAAGCGATTCTCCTGCCTCAGTCTCCCAAGTAGCTGAGACTACAGGCACACACCACCACACCCAGCTAATTTTTGTATTTTTAGTAGAGACGGGGTTTCACCATGTTGGCCAGGTTGGTATCAATCTCCTGACCTTGTGATCTGCCTGCCTCAATCTCCCAAAGTGCTGGGATTACAGGCATGAGCCACCATGCCCAGCCTCCACTGGCTTCTAACTGCATTTGCAATAGAACCCAAATTCCTTTTACTGGCTTTCAAAGCTCCTTGTGAGCTAGCCCTTGCCTTCCTTTCCCTCTTCAGCTCCTATCTCTCTCCTGCTCACCCACTGCACTCGAGCTACATTGGTCTTCTTTCTCAATGTACCCTCGGGGGTATTGAGTTCATTCCTACCTCAGGGCATTTGCACTAAGTGTTCCCTCTGCCAGGAACGGTTATACCTTAATGTGCATGTGGCTGCCTCCTTCATAACCTTCAAAAATCAGCTTCAATATCACCTCCTCAGAGAGACCTTTCCTAACTACCAATTAAAAAGTAACCACAAGCCAGGCATGGTGGCTCACGCCTGTAATCCCAACACTATAGGAGGCTGGGGTGGGTGGATTACTTGAGGTCAGGAGTTCAAGACCAGCCTGGCCAAAATGGTGAAACCCCATCTCTACTAAAAACACAAAAAAATCAGCCATGTGTGCTGGGGCGCACCTGTAATCCCAGCTACTTGGGAGGCTGAGGCAGGAGAATCATTTGAACCCATGAGGCAGAGGTTGCAGTGAGCCCAGATTGCACCACTACCCTCCAGCCTGGACAATAGAGTGAAACTCTGTCTCTAAAAAAAAAATAACCACTCAGTTGTTCTCTTCCACATCCTTCTCTTTGGCTTTTCTGCCCTGCAGGTATTACTACCTGGCAAGATTCTCCTTTGCTTACTGTCTTCCCCACTAAAATTTAAGCTCCATGAGGGCAGGCACCTTGCCTGGCGTTAGCACTGCTGTATCCCAGAGCCTGGAATAGACCAGGCACTTGGCAGGTGCTCAAAACATACTGGTTGAATTTTCTGTTGAATAAGGATGGTTGGAGGTTTAGGACAGAGAGTGATGAGGATTACGGACAGGGCAGGCAAGGATGGGAGGGGCGGGACATGAGGACTGGGCAGAGCCAAGATAGGGTCATGAATGTCAGACCAACAGGCAGGTAGGACACTTACCCGGCAATTACTCCAGGACAACACAGCTTCACGGACCTGCCCAGCTGCCCATACTGGACCCCTGTGGAGGGCACTTCTGAGGTGAGGTTCTTCCTTTACCCCCCTCCCCACTTTGTGAGAGTGACAGGTAAGAAGCAGATTGTTAAAACCTGGATGGTGGGGGTGGGGCACTCACGGGTTAAAGCATTATGTTATAATATGGAGAAAGAGGTCAGAGAACAGGGTAGAGAGGGGACCCAGATTGGATGACAGGGGCAGGGGTGGGGTCACAAGTTAGGCATCGGAAGGGCCCCAGTGACAGTGGCAAGTCACAAGTCAGAATTGGGGGGGTCACAGAGCAGGATTCTTCTCACCTGGGGGGCCCCAGGCCTGGGGGCAGGGGGAGGAGGCAGACACCAGGGCTGTAGCCACGGCCACCAGGACCCTGCTCAGCCCTGAGCAACTGCTGCTCATCTGTGGGGAGAGGTAGAGTCAGAAACCCCCCATCCCTGAAATGAGAGGCTAAAGCCTGGCACCTCCTCTCCAAAACAGGCTTCCTAGGAGGAAAACTGATATACCAAGTGGGGTAAGGCTATTAGAAATCACTGGGGGAACTGACCTGAGATCCCCTTTCCCACTGTATACCCAGTGCTTCACATGTACACACACACAAACACACACACACCCTCACACCCTCCATCTCAGTCCTGGGCTTAGGGCCCAGAACAAAAGCCGGAGGCAAAAGACTATGCCAGCAACTCCCCCCTCCACCACCCTTGGCACCCACCCCTGGCACCAGGCACTGGCACCAACTCAGCCACTCCAGTTAACCCCTCAGGTCCAGCTGTTGGGAATTCTGCTATTTACCCCCACCTGGTCCAGGGCTTATCACTGCCTCTGATTACCTGGGCAGACCTTATCACCCTGGGGGAAGGCGGTCATCGTGGATCTGAACCCTCCTGCACTCCCACCCTGAGGTCGAGCCCTGCTCTGGCTGCCAGGCTTCTCGCCTGAACCTGGCTCCTTGCTCTGGCTACTTGGGCCACTCAGCTGGGCCTGGCTCTGACACTTTGTTGGTCTCCAGTCTGTGAAGCTGGATGGGGCTAGGGTGCAGGCTGGGGCTGTGGAGTTAAGCAGATCCAGATGCCCTGTCTGCTGCCAGAGGCTGGGGGGCGGGCGAGGAGCCAGCAGATGGAGATGGAGACAGGGTGGCGGGGAGGCAAGGGAAGGGAAGGGGATGAGAGGCTGAGAGGAACCAGGAGCCTACAGGGACAGGGGCCTGGCATGGGGGCCACAGCACCAAGAGATACTCAGAGATCAGGACTAGGAGGTGATATGGGCTTAATGTGGAGAGGGCTGGGTTGGGGTCAGGAGCAACTCAAAAATCTAACTGTGTCTATATGGTGGGGTGGGGGAATGCTAGGAGAGAGAGATTCTGGACAAGAGGGAGCAGAAGGAGGAAGGCAGTGGTGAAGTGGATGGAGAATGAAGGGGCAGGTGGGGAAAGGGCTCTGAGTACAAGACCAGAAGAGGAAGAGCGCAGACCCTTCAGGAGTAGAAGGAGTAAAGCAGAGCAGGGCCTCCACGTGTCTGTATGTCTGAGTGTAGCCAGTTGGCTCACCCCTGGCCCCCAAGCCACACTTACCCTACTTAGCCCCACCCTACCTTGGTGATCCCAGCAGCAGAATGTCCATGGCCTTCAGGACTTCCTCTCACCAGCTACAGACCCCGACTTCTGCTCCACTCAGTTCTGGGACCCCAGAGCCATCCCCTCCTTTCCCTTCCCTGCCCCGCCCCCTCTAAGCCTCAGCCACCCCTAGCCAGGCCCCCTCCCCCCTCCCACCTCCTCCCTCCTTCCCTCCCACCCAAGGCCCTAGGAAGGGAAGAGGCCTCCCCCAAGTCTGGAAAGGAAGACACAGACACAGCCAAGGCCAGCAAGAGGGAAAGGAGGGTGGCTAATACTTATGTTCCTGTCAGTGAGAGATGCCCTGTGTTTTCACACAGCCAAACATAGTCACATTCACACATGGACTCACAAGGCACAGTTAACAAAAGGACATGCCTTTGAAAACACATGGATACAATAAAATGAAAAATCAGATGCAAACTCACCCTCTTTTCATTCCTCACCAAATGCTTCCTTAGGGCACAACTGGCTGTGCTTCCAGGGGAAGGGAGGCCCTAGGTTGGGGGATATAAGGAGAGGCCAAAGAGTCCAGTTCCCCCTCCCCTGGAAGTTCCAGCCATTTCTCACCTCCCCCTCCACTCTTTGGGCCCCAGCACCAGGAAATGCCTTTGGTCCCTTGGTGCCAGATACACAAGACCCACAGTTACTCTCACACTCACACATTCTCACATACGGTCACTCACATTCACACCGACACAGCCACACAGCTTCAGACTCAGACACAAACATATTCACACAGTCACACACACACACACACACACAGCCCCTACCAGGGCTCCCAGGACCACCTAAAAGCAAGTCCTCAACATGGTCTAAGCCCCATCTCCCAGGGAGCTCTTAGCAGTGGCAGACCCACATCTCATCACTGTTACAGGCCCCCAACTAGCCAAAGAGATCAAGATCAGCAGGGAAGGCAGGCACAGGAGAGACAGAGGGCAGGAGAGGCAGAACTGGAAATTCAGTCACACAGAGAGATTTGGGGGAGGGGGGACAAAACTGAAGAGACACACGGAATTCTCTAGTAAGAGCAATAGGGAGAGAAAACGGCATGTAAGGGAAACTGAGCCAAGCAGGGAAACAGAAAATAAGGAGCAGTAGACCTGGTGCTGGGGATTCTTGAGCAGAGGAAGAAGGAGGGGAAGCCATATGTGTTGTGGGTGTGTCTGTTCTTGCTGGACACTTAAGAGAAAGGTCAGTCCCATGGGCTCCTGAAGTAGGTCCCCCAATACATGAATACAGCTGTACTCCCACACGGTCTAAGTTAGGACCCAGGACACACAGAGTCAGAAACCTCATTTTTGCTCTGCTACTGCTGAAGTCACACATTGGCACACACAAACCCAGCCACCAACTCTCACACTGGCAGACATGGCATCAAACCCCACAGAGACTTCCAAAACACTTTCCCTAATGTGGTCACAGTCCCTCTCACACACACAACCCAATCCCACCAAAAATGTGCACTGACTGATACACACTTAATCCCACACTTGCACAGCCACATGCAGACCCAGCTTCATGCACACTGACACACGCAGTCATATTAGCTGACAGCTGCACCAAGTGACACTCAGAATTGCACACAATGATACTGTCACACAGACACAGCCTCATACGTACACACACACACTGACCAGTCGTCAGTCACTCCGGGCCTTTCAAATCATACATCACCCTGCCCCGCCCACTCCTGGTAAAACTGGCGTCTACACCAGGCCTTACCTTCCGCGGCCGCTGCCCCCAGCGCCCTCTGCCCTCGCCCTCTGCCCCAGCCTCTACTCCCTCCCGCCCTGCGCCCCCGCAGTGGGGGCGGCTCCGCCCAGGCACCAATGGAAGGAGAGGGGTGAAATAGGGGGGCTCCTGGCCCATTGGAGACTCCAACTGCCAATCACCTCCACCCCCACCTCCGCCGGACACTTCCTGTCCCGTCCCGGACTGAAGAGGCTGCCTGGGACAGAGTCTAGCTGGATTCTTGGGTCTTCGCCTGAAGGCCTATCCACCCTGGGACAGCAGACTGGAAGAAAGAGCCACTGGCCAGGTGACTGGAGAAGCTGAAGGTGCCCCCGCCTTCAGATAAGATAAGGAAGAAGGGCTGTTTAGGGCAGTGGTTCTCAAACTTTGTTGGATATTGTGGTTTGAAAACTGCAAAACCCCACCCCACACCAATTAAATCAGAATCTCTGGAGGTTGGACCTAGGCATCAGTATTATTTAAAACTTCCCAGATTATTCCAAAATGCACCCAAATCAGAGGTGTAAGGTGTGTCAGGTGTATGTGTGCCTCAAGAAACCAGCCACCCACCCAGGGTTCTCATCTGTTCCCCAGTCACCAGTAGCTCAAGGGAAATGGGTGCATACTATGTCTATCCGATCTTCCAGACCAGGGCAACACTCCTGAGTTCCAGGTACTTCCCCTCCAGAATCTCAGGGAAGAAAGACCCTGGCCTGGAAGGCAGGCAGCCAAGGTTCTCCTGGGCCAGATTCAGTCACTGTCCAGTCTTAGTGTGATTTCCTCACCCACAGGCTTGGTTCCCCTGGGAAAATAACGAAGGCAGAAATCATTCTGGCCATCCCTGCATCATTCACAACCCCTGCCTTCACCTGAAAATTTGGAGGACACCAGATGGCATCAGGTCTTCTATGTTGCATGGACTGTTGTTCCCACAGTGTTGCCAGGGAAACAGGTTCAGAGGGGATAGAATAGACCCCAGGTCACTCTGAGAGCCACAGCTTCCTTCCAGGCCCTAGGGTTCCTAACTCTAGCAGTCCCTTCTCTGTCGGAGCTGTTTCTGTTTGTGCAATGATTGGAGAACAAGGGTAGCAGAAGTATATGGTGCCCGCACATGTGAGAGTCTAGAGGAGCCAAGGACACAAAGCCAAGTACATGCTCCCTACCCGCCCGTTTAGCCCCTGTGGGCTGGAGCAGAGCCAAGCTGCAGCCACTCACAAAGCCAGGGTTCTGGCCAACAGCCCAGGGTCTGGCCACTGACCACTTCGACCAGGATCCAGCTCACCCGCTCCCTGTCAAACCCTCAGGCCCAGGCTTGGAGCTGACACTCTAGGGGTGGTGGCAAAGGGGACTCTAGCCTTCCCAAAGCCTCAACCACAACCAAGAACACAATTTTAAAACAGTCTCCTAAACTGGGAATGCTGTTATTACACCAGGAGTAGGAGAATCTATAGGCTAGATGTAATACTGAATATTAATTTTGTTCAGAGATTTGGGGTAGAATTTTTGCATGAAGATTTTACATATCTGTAGACAAAGAAAAGTGGTAGCTGGAGCTATGCCTTTAGCTTTTAACCCTAGATCTCTAAAGGTTCACACTCCTCTGATACTAGAGTATGTGACTGAAGTTTGAGATGCACAATTTTATTAATGCTATATCTGCCCAAATTCCAGGAGAGGATTCAAGGTCCTGTGGTCAGCATGGTCAGGTGATGGTTGCTGTCTCCCTCTCCTTCTGCCCCAGCCGGTAATGAACCTCAGGAAGTGCCCTTAGTCTCTCCGCAGCCTGGAAAAGAGACAGGGAGCAATCAAGGAGGATAAGGGCTGGGCTGCCAAGAATGGTGGTATGGACTTTTGTTGTTGTTGTTTGAGACAGGGTCTTGCTCTGTTGCCCAGGCTGGAATGCAGTGATGCCATGATCATGGTTCACTGCAGCCTCAAACTCCTGGGCCCAAGTCATCCTCCTATCTCAGCCTCCCAGGTAACTGGGACCACAGTATATGCCACCAACCTGGCTAACTTTTAAAAACTTTTTTGTAGAGACAGGGTCTTCCTATGTTGCTAGGCTTCTGAGCTCAAGCAGTCCTCCCATCTTGACCTCCCAAAGTGCTGGGATTAAGGCATGAGCCAAAGCACCCAGCCGGTGTTATGGAGTTCTGGGTGCTCAGGAAACACTTCACTGGATATTGTAGTTTGAAATACGAATATGAAATATGAATCCCACAGGCCCACTCCCAGATTGGGAGGCTGGTGATAAGGACTGCTGGAGCCACCAGGGAATGAAAGTTGAGCAGCTAATCAGTCCCAAGGAATGCCCAGGATATTATGGGAGTTATCAGGGTCATGACTGTTGGGATCCCTAGAGAAAGCAGGAGAGAAAGGGAACCTAAGGACCATATCCTCCTTCCAGGCCCTACGGCTCCTAACTTTGGCAGTCCCTTCCCTGCCAGAGCTGTTTTCTGCCTTGTGCAATGATTGGAGCACAAGGGCAACAGAAGTATCTGGTGCCTACACATACTCTATGTAAGCATCTGGAGAAGCCAGACTGCTCTGAGTCCTTACCTGCTCAGGAGTGAGGTCCCTCTGAGCCTGAGCAAGCATTTCGTAGCCAACCATGAATTTCCGGACAGTGGCAGAGCGCAGGAGCGGAGGGTAGTAATGAGCGTGCAGCTGCCAGTGCTCCCAGTTGGCCCTGGCCTCTGATCCTGTGGGAGCTCCTGACAGAAAGAAGAGAGACAGTGGGGAGAGAGAGCCTTTTTTCAGTTCTCCAGCTTAGCCCCTAAGCCCAAACCCAGCCAGGTACCTGAGAAGAGCTGGCAGGAAATTAGAAAGCACACTGGAGACACAGTTTCACCAAGTTTGCTGCTCCAACCTCAGTCCCAGCATCTCTGCTCTGGCCACTTCCCCCAGCAACTATTTCAAGTCTTGCTCGTTTGGGATTGCAGTTCACTAAGCCAGGCCCCAGAAGCCCAGAAATGGTGTTGGGGCTAGATAAAGGTACTTGAAAAGCCTCACCATGCCAGCCCATGGAGTAGGGAAAGGACGTCTCAAATAGATTGTCATACTTGGTCAAGAGCTTCTTCATGATGGAGGCTAGATCTGGAATCAGAGCCTGACTCTCAGCCTGGGGTCCAGATGCTGACCCTACCGGGAGCAACCCCCACCCAGTGCCTAGCCCCAGGGTCCTAGGTGGGAGACTGACCATCACGCTCTGCAGGGGTCAGCTCAGGTAGCCGTCGCACATGCCGACGGGGCAGCAGCAGTGTCTGGTAGGGCCACGTTGCCCAGAAGGGGACCAGCACTAACCAGTGCTCACTGGTTAGGACCAGACGTTCCTAAGCAGACAGAATGGATAGGAAGTCACCAAGGTGACATGGGGCCAAGGTGGGGTCAGCAAATAGGCAGGGGAAGCAGAAGAAAAGAATGTGCCCAGGATCTAATGGCTTCTCACCACCTCCACCACTAACCACCTGAGTCTAAGTCACCATCATCTTTCCTTCACATTACTGGATTATTGCTAAGGCCTCCTAGCAAGTCTTTCTGCTAGTTCCCCTCTAGCTTTCTCCTTTACACACCTCTCTTGTGTGGGGTAAGAAAGCTAGGGACTCCTTGGGGACACAGAGCTTGGCTCTCTCCCACCTTCCTGAGTAGCTCCTGGCGGCTATACTCCAGTAGCAGGGGCTCTCCATGCTGACTCTTATAGGCCTTCTGAGATCGCTCCTCACGCTGGGCAATATCTGGAAGGAAACTGCTGGCCCACACCTGTCAAGGGGCAAAAGCAGAGAAGAGCAGGCAGTTCCTTTACCTCCAAGCCTCCACATCATTGGCATATATCCTTTGTCCTGTCCACAGTGCTGGCTCAGACTCAGCCAAGAAACCAACCAGAGCCCCTGACACCCTTACCTGGCAGTGGGGGTGGGGGTTGGAACAGCCCATCATGGCGCCTTTGTTTTCAAAGATCTATCAGGTAGGGATAGGGAGCTTTGTTAGCCAAAAGATACCAAGTCAACCCCCTCCTGACCACACCCTGTGGAAACAAATGTTACTCCCCGGAACCAAAGCTTCATCACCCCCTCCCTACCCATCCAGGGGAAGGGGCAACCTCACAAACCTGCACCCAAGGGTACTGGGCACCCAGCTCCTCTGTGACTGAGGCCCATGCATCAACAACAGCCCGGATCTCAGGGACCGACATGAGTGGCAGCGTCACATCCGACCAGGGGTGGAAGCACATGACCTTACTGGGTGGTGAGGGGAAAAAGAAAACCAAGAGGTAGGGCTTGGCCATGCTATGGGCAGGGCCCAACCCCAGTGCTGAGTCTCCAACCCTGGTGTGAAAGTTCTAAGAGGGGAAATCCATAGTTACCAGACTCCTCGAGCAGCCTTTGCTTGGAAAAGGGGATGATCACTGGGTCCTGAGATAAAGGAGCATCACTCTCTGCAGCAGAAGTCCCTCAAGAGGTCTAGCCGCCCTCCTCCCAACAGCAGTTGGAGCCAGGTTACCTGGACTGGGGGCATCAGGCTGCAGAGCTGGGAAGTCGTTGTCAAACAGGAAGGTGCTATTGTAGTGGGGATTCACCTACTGACAAAGATGGGCTAGAAGCATTCACTGCCCCATACCACCAGTTACCTGATGGGCTTCAAAGACTGGACAGGCTACAAGGGAGTAGGGAAGGCCCACTCAAGGAGACAAAAAAGCTTGATGGGATAGGACCCAGAAGGAGGTTCACTGCCCCTGGGGGTGGAGGACAGCTGTAAGCGGGGAACTACTCCCTGTGGCCCAGTCTGCAGACACAGGGCTCTACAGGCTTACCTCTCCATTGGCTCGGGTGGCCCCGGGACACAGAGGGTTGAGGGGGTCATGGCGGGGCACTGTCTTCAGAAGCTGGGGTTCCACTTGACCCTGCCAGGGCCGCTTCATGCGGTGAGCAGACACCAGCACCCACTCATCCTGCAGCGGGTTGTAGCGGATATGCTGATGATCTGGGGGCACACAGTCAAGATCAGTCCGCAAAACTCTCTATTTTATTTATTTATTGAGACTAAGTTTCACTCTGTCGCCCAGGCTGGAGTGCAGTGGCTTGATATCGGCTCACTACAACCTCCACCTCCCAGGTTCAAGCGATTCTCCTGCCTCAACCTCCCGAGTAGCTGGGACTAACAGGCACGTGCCACCACACCCGCCTAATTTTTGTATTTTTTTAGTAGAGACAGGGTTTCACCGTATTGGCCAGGCTGGTCTTGAACTCCTGACCTCATGATCCTCCCGCCTCGGCCTCCTAAAGTGTTGGGATTACAGGCATGAGCCACAGCGCCCGGCCCGCAAAGCTCTCTAGCTCCCTCTCTCCTGGGTCTCACCCACCAACAGGCCCAAGCTCGGGAGCGCCCTCTCCGCCCTGTCCCACTAGAGGCCTTGGATTGGACCTTCCCAGCGCCAACTGGCGACTGTTCGCCTTGTCGGTCTGGCTGGGAATGAGCCTTCCAACCTTCGGTGGGGGCCAGAACTTCCTAAAGAAGCGAAGGGCTCGGCTCTGCGCCCCAGCGAGTCCCGGCCGCGGTACGGTTACCGCTTGCCCGGAAGGTTGCTGCTGCGGTGTCCGCCTCTGACGCCTGCTGGCGCTGCTCAGGACCGGTTCCGCTGCGCGACATGGGGCCACCGGAAGATCCGCTGGAAAGTCTGCAGGACTGTGTCTTACTCTTCGTTTTCTCCGTCTCTACCGCCCCGCCCCGTCCCCGATGATTGGCTAGCCGCCAGCACGTGACTAACCGAGTGGGCGGCCCGGCCACCTGGGGGCGGGGCTCAGAACAACTGAACCCTGGGGAACGGCATTGACTATCCCACTCCACCCAGTGCTGGAGCCACTACACTTGAGAATCTCTGTGAAAGCTGCTTACTGCAGAATCCTTGGGCTCCAGGACGCCTACAGGACTTGCTTGCTGCAGTAATTCATTAGATCTTTCATTCAGCAAATATTTACTGAGCATCTACCATGTGCTAGGCACCTAGGCTCTGTGTGAAGCATTGGGATACACAAGTCAGGCATTGCCTCTGCCGTGCCTGAGCTTACATTCTAGGGCGAGTAAGGATATGACCCTGGATCCACAAGCACCTCAGTCACCTACCTGCTCAGTGGCTGTAGTGGAGGAGAGGCAAACCCGGTGCTGCGGGAGGAGTACTTCACCATAACCATGATCCATCCCCAAAAGCAAAAATAAATTTGGAAAAAAGGGCTGAGTAACCATATTCTCTCCCTTTCTCTCACTCTTGCTCTGCTTCCTCTTTCTCTCTCATATACACACAAAGACAGAGAGCACAAGAAGTGGGAGGAGTAAAAGGGCTATAAGAAATCTAAAAATTTGGGGAGTACAGGACCAACAGAAGTTCCAACCACCATCTAGGTGGGGCCTGGTGTTTCATTTACACATCCCCTTCCCTTTTTTAAATTTTCCTTGGATCAGACCAATTGGCTTACACTAAGACAGAATTCAAATTAATTCCTCCCCTAGTACTTTTTTCTTTCTTTCTTTTTATTTCTTTCTTCTTTCTCTCTCTCTCTTTCTTTCTTTCTTTCCTCGAGACAGAGTCTCATTCCGTCACCCAGGCTGGAGTGCAGTGGCACAATCTCAGCTCACCGCAACCTCTGCTTCACAGGTTCAAGCGATTCTCCTGCCTCAGCCTCCCAAGTAGCTGGGATTACAGGTTCCCACCACCACACCCAGTTAATTTTTGTATTTTTAGTAGAGACAGGGTTTCACATGTTGGCCAGTCTGGTCTTGAACTCCTGACTTCAAGTGATCTGCCCACCTCAGCCTCCCAAATGCCCTGCCTCCTGGTACTTTTATAGAGCCATCTAAATATTGGCCAAGCTGAGATTTGTATGCACGTTTCCAAGGCTCTTCCCAGTGCTGTGAGATGCCTCTGAGACTTCAGTGGAATGCAAAACAGAAACCTAGAGTGAGTTAGAAGCTGAGCTATAGCAGTGAGGTCCCTTCCCCCAATCCAGGCCAAGCCAAGCCAGGTGTTTTGCAATTGAGCTGCATAACTAGGTCATGGGTCATTTACTTGATCTCTGCCCTAGGGTCCTCAGACTGGAATTGGAAAAGGCTACCTTTTGAGGTAGGAGGCAGGGAACTGGGGACTGAAAAATGGGGGTTTTCCCTGTCCAGCTGGCTGTTCATAGTATCCAAAAAGGTGAGACAGGAACAGGAAATCTGCTTTTCTATCCTCTCAGTTGTGTTTGAGTGACTAGAGTTTGTAGACAGCTCCATTTTCCCAAGAACACCAGTGCTTCAGTCCCACCTCTGAATCATTGCAACTAAATCCTGACCCGCATCAGGAACATCTCTTCAAGAACATGTCCATAACTCTCCTCTTTCTGTGACTCCCCAAGGTCATTTTTTGGAGGAAGAAGAGAATGGCTAAGATGGCGCTACCCAGCTCCCTCCCTTCCAGATCCCAGAGGCGTTGTTACAGGAAATGGGTCCCAATCCATACCTCAGGAGAGGGTTCTTGGATCTCACGCAAGAAAGAATTCAAGATGAGTCCATAGCGTGAAGTGAAAGCAAGTTTATTAGTAGAGTGAAGGAATAAAAGAATGGCTACTCCATAGACAAAGCACCCATGAGGGCTGCTAATTGCCCTTTTTTTTTTTTTTTTTTTTAAGATTTCTGTTGCCCAGGCTGGAGTGCAGTGGCACAATCTTGACTCATTGTAACCTCCACCTCCCGGGTTCAAGTGATTCTTCTGCCTCAGCCTCCTGAGTGGCTGGGATTACAGGCACGTGCCACCAGACCTCACTAATTTTTGCATTTTTAGTAGAGACAAGGTTTCATGTTGGTGAGGCTGGTCTTGAACTCCTGACCTTGAAATCTGCCTGCCTCAGCCTCTCAAAGTGCTGGGATTACAAGCGTGAGCCACCGCGCCCAGCCTTCATTTCCCATTTGTATGGTTTTTTTGTCTTTTTGGAGACAAAGTTTCAGTCTGTTGCCCAGGATGGAGTGCAGTGGCTTGGTCTTGGTTTACTGGAACCTCTGCCTCCCAGGTTCAAGTGATTCTCCTTCCTCAGCCTCCAAAGTAGCTAGGATTACAGGTGCCTGCCACCACACCCAGTTTATTTTTGTATTTTTAGTAGAGACGGGGTTTCACCATGTTGATCAGGCTGGTCTTGAACTCCTGACCTCAGATGATCCGCCTGTCTTGGCTTCTCAAAGTACTGGGATTACAGGTGTGAGCCACCCCACCTGGCCAGTTATTTCTTGATGGTATGCTAAATAAGAGGTGGATTATTCATGCCTCCCCTTTTTAGACCATATAGGGCAACTTCCTAACATTGCCATGGCATTTGTAAACTGTCATGGTGATGGTAGGAGTGTAGCAGTGAGGATGACAAGAGGTCACTTTTGTGGCCTTCTTGGTTTTGACTGGCTTCTTTACTGCAAGTTTATCAGCAAAGTATTTATGACCTGTATCTTGTGCCAACCTCTTATCTCATCCTGTGACTTACAATGTCTTAACTGTCTGGGAATGCAGCCCAGTAGGTCTCTGCCTCATTTTACCTAGCCCCTATTTAAGATGGAGTTGCTCTGGTTCAGTTGCCTCTGACAGTAATCTCTGCTATTACATCTGGGGGAAAGATGGCTGTGATCCCTAACCCCTTAGTCCCCTATGCTGGACACTCCTTTTATTATTATTTTTTTTATTTTAAACAGTGTAAGCTGGAAAAGCCTTTTTTTTTTTTTTTTTTTTTTTTTTTTTTTTGAGAAGGAATCGTGCTCTGTTGCCCAGGCTGGAGTGCAGTAGCATGATCTCAGCTCACTGCAATCTCCACCTCCAGTTCAAGCGATTCTCCTGCCTCAGCCTCCCAAGCAGCTGGAATTACAAGCACCTGCCATCATGCCTGACTAATTTTTGTAGAGATGGGGTTTCACCATGTTGGCCAGGCTGGTTTTGAACTTCTGACCTCAGGTAATCTGCCCGTCCCAGCCTCCCAAAGTGCTGGGATTACAGGTGTATCCACCACACCTGGAAAGCCCTGGAAAATCTTTCTGAAAGACCAGATATGGGAGCTGTAGGCCCTGATGATCCCAGAAAGCTGTTCCTGGAATGGAGAGCAGAGACCAAATTTAGGGGCTAATCCCTGCTGCTCAGGGTTGTTAGTGAATTGTCAAGTCAGAATGCCACAGAAGCCTGAACCTATGTAAAAACATCAATCCTGCATTCTCTTCTACATAATCCCTTCTTCATCCTTAATTTCTCTGCCAAATTTCTTTTTTTCTATTTATTTTCTGAGATGGAGTCTCGCTCTGTCACCTAGGCTGGAGTGCAGTGGTGCAATCTCACTGCAACCTCTGCTTCCCAGGTTCAAGTGATTCTCCTGCCTCAGCCTCCCCAGTATCTGGGATTACAGGCATGTACCACCACACCCAGCTAATTTTTGTATTTGTAGTAGAGAGAGGGTTTCACCATATCCGCCAGGCTGGTCTCGAACTCCTGACCTCAGGTGATTCACCTGCCTCTGCCTCCCAGCGTGCTGGGATTACAGGTGTGAGCCACTGTGCCCAGCCCACAAAGTTTCTTAAAAACATGGGCCATCTTCCTGGCTTCTACACTTAGCTGCACAGTATATTGTAACACATCTTTTGCCCTATATTGGTCAGGGTAAGTAATCTTAGTTGATGTAACAAACAACCCCCAAAACTCAATGGCTTAGCACTACAGTTGATTCTGGGGGTAACAGGGAGCTCTGTTTCAAGCAGCATTCAGGGATCCAGGTGCCATCCATCTAGTGGCTATGCCATTTCCTAGGGTCTGAGAATATTCTATAACTACAGTAATAGATAAGGGAAGAAAGATGATGTAAAGAATTTCAAGCTGGGCATGCTAGTATGTTCCTGTAGTCCCCCAGGTACTTGGGAAGCCGAGGTGGGAGATCACTTGAGCCTAAGAATTTGATACCACTCTGGGAGTCACATAGCAAGATCTGTCTCCTAACAAGAAGAAAAAAAAGAATTTCAGAGATTTTAGGAGCCAGGCCTGGAAGTGTCACATATCATTTCTATCTATATTTCCCTGGTCAGATTGCAATCACATAACCCAAAGTAGACTATAGAATGTAATCTAGCTGCCGAAGAACAAAAGGAAATGGATTTGTGAATGCATAGCATTGTCTCTGCCACGTGCTTCTACTGAGAAGTCTAATGACCATTTCCCATCATCTTATTGAATCTCACAATTATACTTAACTGTGTTAACCCCTCATTCCATCACTCTTGAGAAAGAAACGAAACTTTAACTGAGAAATGCCAGTCCCTTTTAATTATCAGGCCCAGAGAGGCATTAAAATGTGAAAGCATGGGCCAGGCGCAGTGGCTCAAGCCTGTAATCCCAGCACTTTGGGAGGCTGAGGCAGGTCAATCACGAGGTCAAGAGTTTGAGACCAGCCTGGCCAACATGGTGAATCCCCATCTCTACTAAAATTACAAAAAATTAGCTGCGCATGGTGGTAGGCACCGGTAACCCCAACTACTTGGGAGGCTGGGGTAGGAGAATTGCTTGAACCCTGAGGGCAGAGGTTGCAGTGAGCCAGGATCCTGCCACTGCACTCCAGCGTGGGGGGACAGTGTGAGACTCCATCTCAAAAAAACAAAAACAAAAAAAAAGTGTGTTGGCTGGGTGCGGTGGCTCACATCTGCAATCCCAGCACTTTGGGAGGCCGAGGCAGGTGGATCACGAGGTCAGGAGTTCAAGACCAACATGGTGAAACCCAAGCCTGGCCAACATGGTGAAACCCTGTCTCTGCTAAAATTACAAAAATTAACCGGGCATGATGGCACGCACCTGTATTCCCAGCTACCCGGGAAGCTAAGACAGGACAATCACTTGAACCCAGCAGGTGGGGGTTGCAGTGAGCTGAGATTGTGCCATTGCACTCCAGCCTGGGCAACAAGAGCAAGACTCTAACTCAAAAAATTTAAAAAAATAAAAAGTGTGACAGCATGTAATAGCAGTCATATCTCACCTTCCCCCACCCACATCAAGACCAGCTTGACCAATATGGCAAAACCCTGTCTCTACTAAAAACACAAAAATTAGCCGGGCATGGTAGCGCACACTGTGATCCCAGCTACTTAGGATGCTGAGGCAAGAGGATAGCTTGAACCTGGGAGGTGGGGGTTACAGTGAGCCAAGATCGCACCACTGCACTCCAGCCTGGGCAATAAGAGTAAGAATCCATCTATAAGAAAATAAAAAATAAAAATAAAAACCTTCTTGTATCAACATTCCCCAAGGCAACTTGGAAATGTGTCCAGAGGAGCTGTTCTCTACCTTGGCCCAAATAAACTCTCTATGTTAATTTGCCTTAGCTCTTTCTTTCTTCCTTTCCTTTCCTTTCTATGTTAATTTTGCCTCAGCTCCCTCCCCTTCCCTTTCCTCCCCTCCCTTTCTTTTTCTTTTCATTTTCCTCTCCTTTTCACCAGGGTCTCCCTCTATTGCCCAGGCTGGACAGTACGAACTTGGCTAACTGCAATCTCCACCTTCTGGGTTCCAGCACTTCTCCTGCCTCAGCCTCCTGAGTAGCTGGGTCTACAGGAGCCTGCTACCATGCCTGGCTAATTTTTTGTATTTTAGTAGAGACAAGGTTTCACCATGTTGCCCAGGGTAGTCTTGAACTCCTGAGCTTAGGAATTACAGGCATGTGCCCCGGTGCTGGGCCTTTTTTCTTTTCTTTTCTTTTCTTTTTTTTGAGGCAGGGTCTAGCTCTGTTGCCCAGACTAGAGGGCAGTGGCACAATTTTGGCTCACTGCAACCTACACTTCCCAGGCTCAAGCGATTCTCCCACTTCAGCCTCCCGAGTAGCTGGGACTATAGGTGTGCACCCCCACTCCTAATTTTTGTATTTTTTGTAGAAACGAGGTTTCACCGTGTTGCCCAGGCTGGTCTCAAATTCCTGGACTCAAGTGATCTGCACCACTCAGCCTCCCAAAGTGTTGGGATTACAGGCATGAGCCACCACACCCAGTCTCAGTTTTTTTCTTTAAGGTCAAAAATGTATGAGGCTACTCTCTTCCAGTTCTTTTATGTTTTATATATATATAAAACCATCACATAAAATGCTCACCATGTGAGGCACTGCTTTATAAATATTAAACTAATCTTATCACAATTTAGATCTGTACTGAGGTAGGTACTTTTGTTCATTTCATTTTACAAGTAAGAAAACTGAGTCACAGAAATTTTAAGTAACCTGCCCAAGATCAGACAACTAGTAGGTAGGAGCCAGGCTTTGAACTCAGGCAGTCCAGCGCCGGAGTTTATTTCTTAATCACCTCACTATGCTGCTTCTTTTCTCTTTTGTTTGTTTTCCTGTTAGCTTTCTTCTTCCTCTGCCTACCCTTTGCTGTTGGTGCTCTCCCAGGCTCTGTCTTAAGCCTTATCTTACTCTATTCTCTCTCCCTGGGAGATTTTATCCATCCTTAGAGGTATTCTGTAGACTCCTAGAGAGATCTCTAAAATGGGGAGTGGGACCATTGTTTCCAGCCATATCCCTAATGGTCACCACAAAACTTGGCACATACAAGTACTAACAAAACATCTGTTGCCTGAATGAATGATAACTCCCAGCTCTATCTCCAGACTGGATCTGGGCTTCCAGACCTCAACACTCGATTGCCAGCTAGATATGCAAAGGATGTTAGCCAAATAAGGGAAAAGTGGGGATAGGATAAAGGGGGAAGAGTATTCCAGGAAGAAGAGATCAAGCCCTGCCAAATCCATTTCCAGAGTTGTTAAGCTCATTTCTTTCTTCCATCTCCACTTACAGACCTTCTCTCTTACTTGGACCACAGTCATGGTCTCCCTGCCTCATCTTGCTCCCCTCCACTCGGTAGTCCTGTGCCACTCGGTGACAAAATCTAATCCCTTTCCTCCCCTGCTGATAACCCACAGCTGGTTTACAAGGCCTCCTCTCACATTTTGTGCTGCAGAACAGAGAAGGAATTGTAGGGCCCTGAAGACCCCACGCTGTCTCTCCTCGGGGGCCTTTGCTCTAGGGGCCTGTCCCTGTGGGCTGGCATGCCCCTTCTCCGCGCTCTTAAAGACACAGCTCAGGTGTCACCGCCTCTGGTATGCCCACCCTAGGGCCCCCAGCTTGAACTACCTCCTCTCCGTTTAAGTGCTGGTTATGGCGGGCCTTAACCATCGTGAGTCCCAGAAGGCTCCACTTCCGGGCTCGTCTTCTTCACCAGCCAGTGAGCTTGTGTGGACTAGTCCATTCTGGGTCTCACTACCCCCATCTCTATCCCCATATAGAGTGGCGTTAGGTCAGACCACGCCTGAAAACCCTGCCTCTGGCAGCTGGGCGACTTCGCTCCGCCCCCTCGTCTCCTGTGCGCGGTGCAGCCCCTCTCCTCCGCGCTCCCCCCGAGGAAATGGTTCGACCGAAGCGGGTGGTGCCGAGGTGCCCAGGCCGCTCCGATTGGTCAGGGCGAGCTGTACGACAGCGGTGGCGGGGGAGCGCGTCGTGGGCAGCCGGCAGGCTCCGAGGCGGTGAGCGCAAAGCCTCAGGCCTCGGCTCCATCCTTCGCTGCGCCGTGCCAGGCCGCCCGCCGGGATGCAGTGGGCCGCGGGCCGGCTGTGGGCGCGGGCCGCGCTGCTCCTGGCTGTCGCAGCGGTGCTGACCCAGGTCGTCTGGCTCTGGCTTGGTACTCAGAGCTTCGTCTTCCAGCGCGAAGAGATCGCGCAGCTGGCGCGGCAATACGCTGGTGAGCGGGCAGAGAGCGGGGAGGGGAGCGGCCGGTCCGGGAGCCGAGACCAGGGTTCCGAAGGTACCATTACTGGGCCGAGGACCGGTGCCGGCCCTGACTCCACCGCCCCTCTCCCTCCGCCAGGGCTGGACCACGAGCTAGCCTTCTCTCGGTTGATCGTGGAGCTGCGACGGCTGCACCCAGGCCATGTGCTGCCCGACGAGGAGCTGCAGTGGGTGTTCGTGAATGCAGGCGGCTGGATGGGCGCCATGTGCCTTCTGCACGCCTCGCTGTCCGAGTATGTGCTGCTCTTCGGCACCGCCCTGGGCTCCCGCGGCCACTCGGGTCAGTGCTAGCGGTGGTCTGGCCTGGGAGGCTGGGGTTGTAAAGGGGCCCATGCCCTCCTTTCTGATGTTTGGCTGGGCCGTTGCGATGGCGCGAATACTCTGATAGTGTCCATGTGATTGTCACTCAGGGCGCTACTGGGCTGAGATCTCGGATACCATCATCTCTGGCACCTTCCACCAGTGGAGAGAGGGCACTACCAAAAGTGAGGTTTTCTACCCAGGTGGGTAAGGAGGCTCTGTCAGAGAAGTGGTTCCCTTCACGCGGGGGGTGCCCACGATTGCGGGGAGCATGGCATGGAAAAGGAGTCTGTTGGGGGGGCCCTCCTTATGGTTCCCTTCCTCCACCCTCCCATAAGCCACAGGTGATTGGTTGGGGCAGAGCTGAGGAAAGACTTGTGCTTTCCTCTGTCAAAAGGAAACAAAACATAACTTCCTGCTAATCATGTCTGATTTTTGTCTGCCCAGGCACAATTTTACCCAGCCAATATTCCAGCAACTGCTGGGGAGACAGTGGGTAATCAGAAATGCTTTCAATACCCCAAAGACAAGACAAACAGTTATCTTTTCTGTTTTTTAATAGTAAAACAATTAAGAAGTAGCGCACTGGACTTCCCAGTATGTTTGATGTCAGGTGTATGCATCGCGGGCATGGTGGTTGAACAGCAACACTTTTCAGATAAAGCCTCACAAGTCCTGGAACTACCCCTTCCCTAGCTACAGCCCAGACTAGGTTTGGCTTAATTTCTGCTTGATTTGAGTGAGGCTTGGGAATGCAGACTTGCATACAATGGGTCCATGGCCAGGCAAGGTAGCCCTCCATGGCTTCCCCCAAGAGAGGACACAGGCCAGGTGATGTCACAGAACATGTAGGAGTGGCCGTTTCGGCCAGCCCAGTGAGGTAGGGCTTTTTGTTTTTCTGAAGCTCCCTCTCCATTCCCCACCCCTAGATAGCCCATGGGCCAGGGAAACAGCAGCCATGAAAGGGAAGGGCAGAGCTAGGCTCCTCACTCGGGTGCTCCCTGTCCCCCAGGAGAGACGGTAGTACATGGGCCTGGTGAAGCCACGGCTGTGGAGTGGGGGCCAAACACATGGATGGTGGAGTACGGCCGGGGTGTCATCCCATCCACCCTGGCCTTTGCCCTGGCTGACACTGTCTTCAGCACCCAGGACTTCCTCACCCTCTTCTATACTCTTCGCTCCTATGCCCGGGGCCTCCGGCTTGAGCTCACCACCTACCTCTTCGGCCAGGACCCTTGACCAGCCAGGCCTGAAGGAAGACCTGTGGATGGACAGGAGCGGGCAGGCCCGCATATATCCACTTGCTGGAGCCCATGTTTACAGACAGGGACATACTCACACCATGCAGATCCTGAGTTCCTGCTGTATAAGCAGGGATATCCATGCTTATGTATCCAAAAACAGAGACCCATGGGAACAAATGAGACACATATAGACACTGAGACCTGTGCGTACAGTAGGACCATGCACTCACACCCATCCAGAGAGGGAGCCCCTGGTATACCAAGGGAGCCAGTTGTGTTCAAACACACATCACAAGCTTGACTCACTAACTCAGGCCTTTCCAGAGCTCCACAGCTTCCTACCCCCTCCCCACCAAACGGGTTCTGGAGTTAAGGTTGGGAGAGGGTATTATACTGTCTCACTCTGACTCCTCAATCCAGCAGCAATTTGAGGGGGAAGAGGAGCTGCCCTTTGGAGGCCCCTTTCACCTGCAGCTATGATACCCTTCCCCTTCTCCCCTGTCCTCACCATATGCCTTATCCCCTTTCTACTCCCCTGCTATGCAAGTGCCCCTGTGGCTTGTCCCCAGCCCCCTCAGCAACAAAGTCAGCTGGGGAACCAGAGTAATGTGAAGAATGCTTGAAGTCAGAGTCTTCCATCCCAGAAAGACCCCCATTCCTTCTTTGGAGGTGTGATGGGGAAACTGGTTTCAGCCCAGGACCCACCACTGAGGAGAGGATCTAGACAGGTGGGCCTAATTCCAAGGGGCCCTTCCTGGCCTGGAGAAGGCCTTTTACACACACAAACACACACATGCACATAAATACACACACAGCCCCTGTTGCATTCTCGATCCATCTGTCTGTTTCTGTTAATAAAGATTTGTCGATCTGTTTCATCTTTTTCTGTGTCTGAGCAGCCGGAAAAAGCCTCTGACTCCTGGGGACCTCTGGAAGATATCTCCCTTGCTGTGTGATTCATGGTAGCTGCTTTTTTTTTCTTTTTTTAGAGATGGGGTCTCCTCTGTTTCCCAGGCTGGAGTGCAGTGGCACAGTGACGTGATCATAGCTCACAGCTCCCTTGAACTCCTGGTCCCAAGCAATCTTCCTGCCTTAGCCTTATGAGCAGCTGGGACTATAGGCAAATGCCACCGGGTTAGCTTTTTAAATTTTGTTTAGAGACAGGGTCTTGCTATATTGCCCCAGCTGGGCTCCAACTCCTGGCCTCAAGTGATCCTCCCTCAGCATCAGGAGTAGCTGGGATAGCAGGAACAAGCCACTGTGCCTGACAAGATGGTGGCTTTTGACTAGTAGGAACTATATACTTGAATGTGCCTTAGAATCACCTAGGACACTCTTAGAGTCAGTAGCTCAGACTACTGAGCTCCATTGCCAGAGATTAGCATTTTCAATAAGATCCCCTCTAACAGTTGTGAATGCCACAATTTGAGAAACTCAGGGCAGGATGATCTGGAGTATGTCTTGGCCTTACCTCTGCCAGTGCAGTTCTGAGAACAGTCCTAACAATTCTCCCCTGGATGGCCATGGGGTGGCAGTGTGCACCCACTTTTTAGCTAAAAGAGGCCTAGTTCTCAGTTGGCTATTTCTGGACTCCCAGAGTAGTGTCTGCCCCCACCAAATAAAGGAGTTCCTTCAGTCTGTGGTCTGCCTTCCGCAGGACCCCCCACTAATGTAGGGCCTCCCAGAGTGAAAGACAGGCACACTACCTGGTAGTATGAGGTAGGTACGGCCAGGACTAGGGTAAGGCAAGAGAGGTGCCTAAAGTGCACTCACTCCCAAAGACCCTGTTCTTGCCTTCTTAACTTCTGCACCCTACACACCAACAGTGCCTTACCCTCGTCCTGGCCCTGTTCTGAGCGTAAGGCATAGATCACCCCTGCTTCTCAGGATTCTTGGTGTATTGAAAATGGAAGAAACATGGTCATAAAAGTTACATATTTTAACATTCTTTGAACACAAATCCAAAAGACTATATGTATAACTGCATTTGGAAACCATCAAAAGTCAATTTGTGACTGTAGAGTCCAGGTAAGTTGGCCATCCTGACCCCAACCCTTCACCGCCACTACCCCTGACTCTTCACCCTCATTACCACTGACTCTTAACCCTACCACCATGTCAGGCTTGGTAGGCCCTGGCTGGCACCTCACCATTGACCCCAGTTTGCAAAGCCATACCTCCTTGGGGGATTCCTTCCACTCTGTAACCCACCTCTGCCTCTAGGGTCATAGCCCACATCTGTCAGGGATGCCCCAGCTTGCCCTGTCATTCCCCACAAACTTCCACAAAGGACTAGGTTCCCAGGACCTTCCCAATCTCTGCTGCTAAATCCATTGGTCATGTCATAGTTCTCAACTTAGTGTGTGTGTGTGTGTGTGTGTGTGCGCGCGCACGTGCGCGCCAAAGATTGATTTTTTTCATTTCTTGCATTTGAAGTACTCTTCTATGACATCCTTGGCCTGAGACTCCTTGCCATAGTCCTTCACTGCTACACCACCGCAACCAACCACTTTATGGGGCTTCCCCTCTCTGTCAATTTTACAGAGGCTGACTCATTCCCCGAGTTTCTTCTCATCAACCTTAATTAAGTTGATTTGGTATTCAGCACGAAGGGCCTCCACCAACCTGACATACGTAGGCTCATGACAGTTGGATGCAAGTGCACAAAGAGAGGCTTGGCACTTGTCTGAGGCTTTGGCAGCTTCGCAAATTCCACATGCTAGGCTATCGTGGATGAGGGCAGTCTTCAGCATCTCTTGTAAAGCAATATTAATGTCAATTACACTTCCAGCGGCAATGCCTTCCTCAGCCATGGCAGTGAGTTATGGGTTATAGGTGAAGCTGAATCTTGAACACATCCAAGCCTCCGCCTTAGTTCTCAACTTTCATTTTACACAGGTAATCACTCTGAAGGCACTCAACTTCTGGGACACTACTCTTCCTTAATTGCCTCCTTTACTGCTTTATTGGATTCTTCCCCCCCCCCCCTTTTTTTTTTTTTTTTTGTAGAGACAGTTTTACTGTGTTGGCCAAACTTGGTTTTCCAAAGTGCTGGGATTACAGGCATGAGCCACTGCGCCCAGCTGCCGGTTTCTTATCTTCTCATTCTCTGATTTCCTTGGGCTTAGTCCTCAAACCTGTTCTCTATTTACACCCCTTCCCAGGTGATTCTGTGACTTTACCATTTATATATATTGACTTCTAAATTTTTGTCTCAGCCTAAATCTCTTCCCTGAGCACCAGAGATGGAAATCTTACTGCCTTCATCTCTACTCAACATCTCCACTTGGTTGTCTAATAGGTAGCTCAGACTTGAGATATCCAAAGCAAACCGAATTCTCCCAACCACACACCACCAGCACCCCATAGCCTTCACTGTCTGAATTAAGGGCACCTCCATTTATCCAGCTGTCCAGAGACATTGTGGACATGTCTCATTCTCTCACATCCTACATCCAATCCATCATCAAATACTCTTTTTATCTGCAGAATATATTCAGACTCTAACCATGTCTTCTCACCTCCACTGCCCCCACCCTAGTTTAAGACACCATCATCCGTTGCCTAGACTATTGCAATGGCCACTTAACTGATCCTCATGTATGCATCCTGTGTGGAGGGTTCTCCACACAGCAGCCAGTCAGACTTTCACTCTCTGCTGAGACATATCCAGTGACTTTACATCTCATTCTATCCTTTCACTCCTTACAAGGGCCTACTCCAAGGCCCATTTCCTCTGACCAGACATTCCAACCACTGACCCTTTCAGTGCCCCATTCCAACCTAGTGGCCTCCTTGCTTTTTTTCCAACACATCAAGCAAACTTCTGCCCCGGGGTAGTTGCACCTGCTATTCTGACTGCAGTGCTCTTCCCTAGGTACCCATGTAACCATAGCTGTACCATTATAGAACTGTACCATTATAATACGGAGTTTCTCCCTCCTTCAATTCCTGTTCACTGAGTTTTCGACACTTACAGAATAGTATCTCTTGCATGGTAATTTTAAATGCCATCACAAAATTTTTGATGCTCTGTCTCTCAAGAGGTAAAGCCTAAATTCCTCCTCCTCTCCTTTGAGTGGGCTAGACTTATGTACTTTAACAAATAACGTGACAGAAATAAGAGTGTGTGACTTCTCGGACTAGGCCATAAAAAGCATTGCTACCTAAAGAGTCTCTCTTTCTTGGATCATTCTTGGGGAAACCAACTGCCATGTTGTGAGGACAAACAAGCAATCCTATAGAGAGGCCAACATTGCAGGGAAACAGGCCCCCTGCCAATAGCCATGCAAGCAAGCAATCTTGGAAGTAGATCCTCCAGTCCCAGTCAGGTCTTCAGATGACTGCAGCCCTGGCCAACCTTTTCACTACAACACCATAAGAGAACCATCCAGACCTACAGAATTGTGAGAAAATAAATGTTTGTTGTTTTAAGCTGCTAAATTATGGAGTGATTTGTTACACAGCAATAGGTAACTAATACTTCCCTTTCTGTTCCCCCCAACCCAGCTACATTTTTCTGTATGGTACCTATCACCATCTGGCACACTGTATATTGCCCCCACTTAGAACTGTACCATTATAATAGGGAGTTTGTTTTATTGGCTCCTGTGTCCACCAGTGCTTGGCAAAAAAAAAAAAAAATAGATAATAAATATGTGTTGGATGAATGAAGACCTAGTCTCTGAAGGTCTAGGTCTGTCTCTGTCTCTGTGAGGTATAGGACCGGACTGTGGGTGTGAGAGGCAGCCTTTCCTTCTCACAGATGAAGAGAGATAAACCAGGTCCCAGTTAGGAGTATTTCTTCCCCTCAGCCCTTCCCAGTTGTAGCCCTCCTGGCCCAGACCCCAAGAGGATTAACTGCTTGATTAATCTGGGGGACTGGTGAGTGACTGCCCAGCCCGTTGCCCCTCAACCCCAACCCTACAAAGTGATCTCCAAACACTCAGAATTGGAATATCCCCAAGCTACTTCCTACCTTTCCAGGAAGACACTCTCACCACCTACCTTTGTCCAGGCACCTCTGAACAGCCAGGAGAAGCTGTGGTGGGGGGAAAAGGAGCAAGCAGGGTGCACGGGTTCTGGGATCACTATCCTCTGCTCTCCAGAGTTCCACTAGACTTTCAGGGCATGTCCGTCTGCCTGGCGCATTCAGATTCTCCCCTCCCAGCATCAGAGAGGGGGTGGCAGAGGCAGAGGCTTGGCTTTGCCCCAGGATACACCAAACAAAGCTATGGGGGAGGAGGCATCAGTACTGATGGTGATTGGATCACTGGAGCTTCTGGGTGCTGAGGGTTCTGATGGGCCCAGAGGTCTGAAATCTGAGGTGGAGGACACTGGGGGAGCTGAAGATATGAATGGGGTTGAGCCTCAGTGTGGCCAGGAATGGGCGGTAGAGAACCAGGACTTAGTGCTGCAGTAAAAGCTGGGCACAGAAGGGTACAGAAGGGGTGGCGGCTGGAGGCAGAGACAGCAGGGAGGAGGCACCCACCATGGGATCCTGGTCAGAAGAGCTGGTGGTCTGAGCCAGAGCAAGCTGAGGCTGAGAGAAGTGGACTGATTGGGAGAGTAAAAAGGAGGAGGAAGGAGAAAAAGGTGTCTGGATTCCTGCCCTCTGTGTGTGAGGTCAGGAGACAGTCTCTGGTGCCACAGTTTCATACCTATGCCAGATGTCACCCCTACAGACACCTGCTGTTCACTTACACACTTAACATCACATCATGGTGGCCCTCACATTTGGTAGGTGGTCCCCTTGGGCACAGGAAGAAACAGGAAGTATTAGGATGCCCAAGGGGAATGGGGTCCAGGCTGCTCAGAGCAGAAATTCTAAGAGGCCTGCTACTCAGGACCCCCAAATAAGGAACAGCATTTCAGCATCTTGGAATAGTTAGGGGGAGGGCCCAAAACAGTGGGCTGAGGGGGTCTGGAGATACAGATGTGGGAGTCAGGTACACATGGGTGGAGAATGTGTGTGAAGGTGGGTGAAGTGCCAGTCACTGTTGAAACAAGCCTATGATGAGTACTATTGTTTCATTATACTATTCATTCATCTATGTTTGAAAATTTTCATACTAGAGGCTGGGTGTGGTAGCTCACTCCTGTTATCCCAACACTTTGGGTGGCCGAGGTGGATGGATCACTTGAGGTCAGGAGTCTGAGACAGTCTGGCCAAATGGTGAAACCCTGTCTCTACTAAAAAGACAAAAATTAGCCCAGCCTGCTGGTGGGTGCCTGTAATCCCAGCTAATCCCAGCTATTCATGAGGCTGAGGCAGGAGAATCATTTGAACCTGGGAAGCCAAGGTTGCAGTGAGCCCAAATCACGCCACTGCACTCCAGCCTGGATGACCAAGTAAGACTCTGCCAAAAAAAAAAAAAAAAAGGAAGAAAGAAAGAAAGAAAAAGAAAATTTCCATAATAGAACGTCAAAAGAGACAAAAACTGTGTATGGCTGTGTACCTCCATGTCGTGGGTGTGTGTACCCTGCTGCAGGTGTGCAGTCAGCTTAAAGACCTCTTGAGTGTGTGTGAATACACAGGTGTGGGTCCACAATCATGTGCACACATGTGTGCAAACTGCGGCATGCCTGCAGTTGGGGACAGCGCGTAGGCAGGGCAGGACTGGTCACCCCAAGGTGAGAAGCTTCTATTCTGACCAGACCCTCCACACTCCACCCAGCATCCTGCAGAGGGTTTCCCCTCCTGATCACAGCCTGCCCAGGCCATTGACACTGTGGTGACTGTGTCATCGAACGTGTGAGACTGGGCAGCTGTGCGCCTGAACTTGTAACAAGGTGTGTTGGTGTGTGGACGTGGCTGTTTGTGTGTGGAAGCCCAGTGCTAAATGTGGGTGTCGGAGGCACGACTTTGAGACTGGGCGGGGGTCCCGAGTCCCGCGGCGGTGAAGCCCTCACACTCTCACGACTCCCCCGCAGCTCTCCAGCGCCCCCTGTCCCCCGAAGCTGGCTGGAGGAAAGTGGGAAACACCTGTTGGGGGGCTGAGAGCGGCGGAACCCACAGGGGCCGCTCCCCAAGCGCCCCGCCCGCCCTGCCCCTCTCGGGTCCCGCCCCCGCGGTCGCCGCAAGCAGCGCGGCGAGTGAGCGCACCGCGGCCAGAGGAGCGCAGGGCGGTGGGAGCGCACCGCGGGGACCCAGCCGAGGCCAGGGCCGCCAGGAAGGCGGACGGAGCAGAGGCAGCGCCGTGGATACGCCGGGGGCAGCGGGCCACCCCAGGCAGGTGAGTGCGGCCGCGGGGCGCCCGGAACGAGGAAACCCGGCGTCGCGGCTCCGCCGCCTCCTGCCCGTCCGGTCCAGTGCACGTCCCCACCGCCCTCCATTCCCGCGACTCCTCGGTCCCTGTCCTCTGCCCCTCTCTCCCGCTGTTTTTGCCGTCCCTGTCTCTGTCGGCCCCTCTCTATTTCACTGTCTCTTTCTAATCTCTTCTGTTACCTGCTATCTTGCTCTTTCCCTATCTCTCAACCCCTGTCTCACTATTTGTCTATCTCCGCCTCTGTCTCTCTGTCTCTGTCCGTCTCTGAGCTACCCGTCACTTAGATCTTTTATATTTATCTCTTGCTCCTCTATCTCTCTTACCCTCCCTATCTCTCTGCCCAGTATCCAATCTCTCTCCATCTCTGTCTCTCTACCCTGTCTCTGCCTGATATCTCTGCCTCTCTCCATCTTGGTCCCTCTCAAGTCTCGGTGTCACCCCACTTGTCTCTCCTTGTCACCCTGTTCCATCTCTATTTCCACATCTCCCTGTCATTGTCTCTGTCAGACACCTCCCCTTCTCCTTTTCTTTCTCTCTCCCTCCCTCCGACATTTCCGATATCTCTTGGTCCCTGTCACCCTCTCTGATCTGCTCAGTCTCCCAGTCCTCAGTCAATGGCCATTTCTGATTCCCTGTGTCTGGTCCTGTTTCTGTTCACCTCTAGGAAAGCTATATTTCTGCCTCTTTCCTTGTGACCCCTGCACTTCCCTGAATCTAGACCACCTCCCCTTGTGTTGGGGGCTATAGGGCCAGCAGGGCCCAGCATCCATAATTCCCTCCCCAACAGGCGGCCCTTTCCTCGGGGTCCCGCCTGGTACCAGGGTCCCCCTCAGCCGGGGGACTGCGCCTGGAAGCTGTCATGGAAGCCCTGCAGAGGCAGCAGGCAGCTCGGCTGGCCCAGGGGGTGGGGCCATTGGCACCTCCACGCCCGCTGCTGCCACCCCAGCCTCCCCTGCCTGACCATCGGACCCTACAGGCCCCTGAGGGGGCTTTGGGGGAGGCTGCGGCTGAGGAAGAGGAAGATGCTGAAGAAGATGAGGAGGGAGAGGAAGCCGGAGCAGAGGAGGAGGCAGCTGAGGAGAGCCGTCCAGGGGCCCAGGGACCCAGCTCACTTTCTAGTCAGCCCCCTGGACTCCATCCTCATGAGTGGACCTACGAGGAACAATTCAAGCAGGTAGGACAGACCCCCTCGATGTCAAGCCCTCTCCCCTATCTCCCTCTTCTGGCAAAAGCAGAGCCAGGTGATTAGCAGCCCACCCACCCACAGCACCACCCTCTGCAAGATGAAAACAGACACAGAGACACAGATACCTAGAGAAACACAGAGGGAAAACTGGAGGATAGTGACAGGAAGGAAAGACAGATGCCTGGCTAAGTTTTAAATTTTTCTTTTGTAAAGACAGGGTCTCCTTGTGTTGCCCAGGCTGGTCTTGAACTCCTGAGCGCAAGTGATCCTCCCACCTCAGCTTCCCAAAGTGCTGAGATTACAGGCATGAGCCACCATGCCCAGCCAGGTGTAGGAACCTTTGAGGGAGGGCAGTCTGGGGGCTGGCAATGCCAATGCTAGCACCACCCTACCCATCTTCTCACACATCAAGTCACAAGGTCACATTCCAGTGACCAGTGGGAGTTCCCAGTTGCTTCCTCTGTCTTTGGAAACAGAATGGAGGTTGTCACTGCCTTGGCAGGCTGACACACCTCTCCTCTCTTTCCTGTTACATCCGCCTTACCCCGGCCACATGCAAACCTTCTCCTGGGCCTGAGTTCCATGGACAATTGTTCGCAGCCCGTGATGGTCACTCAGCTGCAGTATGACTAAAGGGCTCCTCTGCAACTCAGAATGACAAGACATCACTTACAGGGCCTTAATCTGAGGTTCCTTCTCCCTGGAGAACCCTCTGGGTGTCATTCTAAGGACACTACTCAAGGCTGTCACTATGAAGGTGTTACACAGGGCTGTGATCCCAGGTGTGCTATTCTGGTGATGTTAACTTGTAGGCTGTTGGTCTGAGTATATTCCAAAAGCATTAATCTGTGACTAGTACTCCGGCATTAGCATAAAACAGAGTGTTACTCAGGGCTCTGTTCTGGAGATGGGGCACTAGACACTGTTTCTCCTAGGTATAATTCTAGGAGTTACTACTTGAAGAGTGTATGTATTATATGTGAGTATCCATCTAGGACTTAGGGCTCAGTTTTTGTGGGAACGTGGCTCTAAAGGCAGATCTGGGATTTATTACTCATGGGTATTTTGTTTGTTTTTTACTCTGAGGATTCTTATGGGGATGGAGTGATGGAATATTATCTATAGGTGTTACTGAAGGACTGTTACTCTGTGTCAATGACTCTAGGGATGGTTCCCTTGGCTGGTATTTGGTAGCTGACACAGGAGGTGGGACTCCAGATGACTGGGAGGAATTGAGATGGCCTGTGGATCCTTCAAACTCTGACCGCACAGGTCCTAGGTGGTACAGGGCCATTGCCTCTATAGCAGCTTCTGTAGTAGGTAGGGTAACTGCCTCTGAAAGGTGGTCAGACCAGAAGATGAGCTGAGGGGCCCTGGGTGTCAACCTAGGAGCTTCTGAGCATCACCCTGCCTGAGGGGTGTGTTAGAAGAATCTCTGCCCTTCACCCACCCCCAGCCCTGGCATACAGGGATGGGAACAACATGAAGTTCTTAAATGAATGAATCAGAGCATCAGATATATGTTTGTTTCCTCAGTATGGAATACAACCTCAGCCTAGCTTCCTTCCTGGGGCTGTAAATGTCCCATGAGTGTGGGGGGAAACTGAGCCCCAGAGGGCAGGCTGAGCCTCCAAGCTCCATCCTGTTCCTCTCTTCCCTTACTCCCAAGATGGGTGGTTTGAACTGCCCAGGGCACCACTACCAGTGCCAGTTTCTGTGTGTACTAGAAAAAGGCACCTCTACCTGCCCTTAGGGGGAAGAGAGCCTAATGCTAATGCCAGGGAGTCCTCATTGAGATCCTACTGACTCCTTCAGCTAGGGGCCCTTGTTCAGGGTACAACCTGAATTGGGGTCCAGGGAGGGAGGGGGGATCAACAGAGCTGTAGAATGACCTCAATCCTTCCCCAGCTGTATGAGCTCGATGCAGACCCCAAGAGGAAGGAATTTCTGGATGACCTGTTTAGCTTCATGCAAAAGAGGGGTGAGTGGCATGATGTAAGGGAAGGGCCCTGGAATTGCCCCCATACCAGGTTTGAGGAAACCCAGTTGGGTTCTCCCTGCAGAGGCCTGAGCTTGGCAGCACCTGTCCTTTGCCCTCAAGAGCGTCTTTAACCTCTGACCCTGCCCCCCTCCTCCACCCAGGATTAATTAGTGGCCAGCCCACAGGCAGGTTAATGAGAGTGGGATCAATTGGGAGGGTGGGAGGAGGAACTGATGGGAGGTTGGCCTGGGGTGGGAGCCAGAACTGGAGGGCTGAGAGTGCCTTGGTTCTCTGTCCAGGGTCTTTCCTCCAGCCATGTCTTTCTTGTTTTCCCTTGATTCAGGCAGGGGACACCTCGTGTGCTCTCCAGCAGGAATGACAAGGATTAGACTGAAGGAAGGACTTCCCAAGGGGTGGGCTGGGACTATATGAGTTGAGCTTGTGGAGGAGGAGAGAAATTCATTTCCAGGAATGTCAGAGCTGGAGAAGGCAAGAAGGGTCCAGGAGGACATCAGGGTGGGCGGCAGTCCATCACTTCAGCTTCTCCCCAGATTCATGGGACCAAACACTGACTCATTATCTCTCTCTACAAAGCTAATTAACTCACTCGGAGCGCAGCCTGATAAGCCGCTAATTAACTGGCTGCACTGCCCGCCACCCCCCCCCCCCCGACTTCTTTTAGTGCATCTGCTGGCCCACTTCCCGCCCCCCCGCCCTCACCCCAGCCCCAGCACCCCTTTCGGGTCCCTTCCTTCCCAGGGACCCTCAGTCGGGCCCTAAGTCCTTTTGCTTCCCAGGGAGGCCCATTCTAGTTCCAGTGTCCCCTCTCTGGCCCTTCCTCAAGGCCTCCTCTCTACTGGGGTAGCGGGTGTGAACCGATCCCAGCATTGCCTGCCCGCCCCTCCCCACTAGCTCTGCCTCCCTTCGGTCCCTGCCTCCCACCGCTCCAGCTGCAGGGGGAGAGGGTCCCGCGGGGCCGATAATTTTCCCCCATTAATCAGGCCGCAGCTAATTGTTCGGGTCCAAAGGCGCGGCGGAAAGGGGACGGGATCGGTAAGGAATTAACTGGGGCCCATCGCTCAGCGCAGACAGGCCCCTTTGTCAGGACTGGACGGCGGGGGCGGCGCGGGCTGCGGAGTCGGCGGGCCGAGGCGGGAGCTGATTCTTCTCTCGCCCGTCATCCGCCAGCCTTGGGCAGCTACCCGGGGGCTGCTGCTTAGGGGCGGCTGGCTCTTCAGCATTGTCCGGAAGTCCTTCCTACCATCTACCCCAGGGAACAGCAAACTAAAGTTTGCACGCCAAACCCAGCTGCCTGCAATATAAGAATGGTTTTTACTTGTTTAGATAGTTGGGGGACAAAATCAAAAGACAAATAACACTGCCAGACTGGTGAAATTCGAATTTCAGAATATATTATTGGAACACAGCTGCGCCCATTCCTTTAGGTATTCTCCATGGCCGCCTTCGGGCTACAATGACAGCGTTGAGTAGTTGTGACAGAGATCACTTAGCCATTTGGCCTTTTACAGAACTTCGCCCACTCCTGGTCTAGCCTCCTGTCCTTCCTGCTAAAAAAAAGGCCCTGGAGCTCTGTGGGCTCCGCCTGTAATCCCATTCCCCCGAGTCTCCCTCTTTCCCGCCGCCCCCGCCCTGTATCAGTCCCCGGGGATGCCGCAGGCAGGGTCTTAGTCTCAGTGTCCTGACGGCAGCCCACTCCCCACCAGGGACGCCAGTGAACCGCGTGCCCATCATGGCGAAGCAGGTGCTGGACTTGTACGCTCTGTTTCGCCTGGTGACCGCCAAGGGCGGCCTGGTGGAAGTCATCAACCGCAAAGTGTGGCGGGAGGTCACGCGCGGCCTCAGCCTACCCACCACCATCACCTCGGCCGCCTTCACTCTACGCACCCAGTGAGGCCCATGGCGCGAGCGGAAGGAAGGGAAGGGGGCGCAGGGTCGGCCTAAGGCGGGGCGGGGAGGGTCCCGGGCGGGAGTCCGGGTGTGGGACTTGACCAGCTGGGCCCAGCCTCCCACACACTCACCGACCGCTGTCCGCCCCTAGGTACATGAAGTACCTGTACCCGTACGAGTGCGAGACTCGAGCGCTCAGCTCCCCAGGGGAGCTCCAGGCCGCCATAGACAGCAATCGGCGCGAGGGCCGTCGCCATGCTTACACCGCTACCCCTCTCTTCGGCTTGGCAGGGCTGCCCCCTCGGGGCGCTCAGGGTCCAGCCATGGGTCCTGGCCCCGCCCCTCCGGCGACCGCGTCCAGCCCCGGCCCTGTCCAGGGTTCCGCCTCCGGCCTGCCAGCGCACGCCTGCGCTCAGTTGAGTCAATGCCCTATTAAGAAAGGTGCGAGGGGAGAACGGTGGAGGTTTAGGGGTCTTTGAGGTTTAGGTGGGCGCTGAGATATGGGAACCATTTCAGTGTGGGGACCCAGGTCTGGGAGGCATTGAGGTATGGGAGCAGTAAGGTCTGACGTGCCTCTGAGGTTTGGGGGTCACTGAGGTTTAGGGGTCCTGAGGTTTGGGGTCAAATGAGAACTCTGGGCTATGGGTTACTGGGGTGCGGGGGCTGAAGTTCAGGAAAAGGTCCTTTAATCACAGCATCTCCAGCCCGTACCTGTCCACCCAGTGCTTCTATTTGGATATAGTTTGTGCCTCTTGTGATCTGAATTATGCAATAACCAACAGCTAAAAACAATCTCCCAAATTCTCTAGACATGTGCATTGGTCCTTTGGGCTCTAGAGAAACGCTTCAGCGTCCAGGCTGAAGCTCTAGGTGGGAAGATAGATCAAATGATGAGAGATTGGTGCATGAGCTTGAGTGTACCTCTTTTGATCCCAGGCCTGGGGGAGAAGCAAATGCAGAGATGGGTTGGTTTGACCAGGGGAGCTGAATAATATGTTCTTCTAGAGGACAGTGGAATTCCAGCCCCTCGCCTGGCACTGCCTGTGGGCCTGGCATTGGGACAAACACAGGAGAAGCTGGCATCAGAGGAGCCCCCAGAGAAAAGAGCTGTGCTGATGGGGCCCATGGACCCACCTCGATCTGGCATGCCCCCCAGCTTCCTGCCCCGTGGCAAGGTTCCCCTGAGGGGTGAGGAGGGGCTTGTTGTGAGAGGGCTTCGGGACTGTACACTGAGGGAGGATTAACCCATCATCTGACAGGTGTTAGAGACGGGGCAGACAGATTCCTCTATAGACAACTGTGTGAGTATAGGGGTGGGTTTGAAGTGGAATGGGGGCTGACTATAGGGATGAAGGAGGGAAATTCTATCAGTAAGTCTGAAGTCTGATTCTCCAAAATGTGATTCCTCTGCCCCCTCCTGGACAGAAGAGCGGCTGGATGGGCCTCTTAATCTGGCAGGCAGTGGCATCAGCAGTATCAACATGGCCCTAGAGATCAACGGGGTGGTCTACACTGGTATGGGTACTGCAGGCTGTCTACAGTGGCATGGGGTTGGGGGCATTTAGGCTGGCATGGGGATTTCAGACTTCCTCTACTAGCATGAGGTTCAGGGATATCTAAACTTGCATGGGTAACATAGGATTCAGGGGATTGCTAGACTGGCATGGGTTAAAGTGGGTGTCCACATGGCATGGGATCCAAGGCATGAACTCTCTGGCATGGGTACCAGGGGATGTCTGCCTTATCATGGGTCTATGTATCAGCGTAAATATTCCTTGTTTACCTGTTTGAGGGTATCTACATTAGCAATGGAGTCTTTCACTGACCCAAGGAACTTGTCCTCAATGGTTTGTGGCAGGGGTACGTGTGTAGTAGTGTTCGAGTAACCAGAACACTTACTTCTGTTCCCCTCTTCTGTTTCCACACCCTACTCCCTCCTGCTTGTTTTTGCCCTCTACCATCTTCTCACCCCTTTGCCAGGTGTCCTCTTTGCCCGCCGCCAGCCTGTGCCAGCTTCCCAGGGTCCAACCAACCCTGCACCCCCACCCTCCACAGGGCCCCCTTCCAGCACCTTGCCCTGAGAGGTCCAACTTGAAACTAAGAGTCCAAGCCCCATTGCTGAGAGGGGAGGAGACCCCCTGCTTTGATTCTTTCAGGCTGCCCACTCTGGGACCCAGCCCTGGAAGGGAAACACACCTCCCATGCCATGTGGACTTAAAACCAAAGTTTCTTTTGATGTTACGCCTACCTCATTGTAAAGGGAGGGCACTTCCTCCCTGGCCAATTCCAGCAGCATCTACCAAAGGGTTCTTCTGCCAGTAACCCCCATCATCTCCTCATGTGTCCCCTCTGTCAATGTCATCTCTAGGACCCTACCCCTTTGAGTAGGCCCTGCTTCTCTTCAGGAACCAAGTGAAAGTTTGGGTTGGGGTATTGTGAAAGAGCCATCCCTCAGGTCACATCTAGACAATAAAGCTGCGATCCCTCCCTCTCTGATGCCTCCTTTCTTGTTTGGGTATGGGAGGTGGGGAGGAATTACATGGTACATAGTCTGCCTTGGGCCAGGGGCGTTCAGAGGGGAAGGCAGAATAGCAAAGTTCCATGAGAATAGAAGAGCTCCGTCTCTTGAATCAGACAGCCTGAGTTCAAGTCCCAATTTGTCACTATAGTACGGGGTGGCCTTGGGCAAGTCATTTAATCAGTTGAACCTTAGAAGACTCCAAAAGTTTATGGTAACTCACAGAGCCTCCTAATGATGTTATCCATGGGAATGGACCTGTCCTGGAAAAGTAAGTGTATTTACACGTGCAAACTAAGGGAATAGCGTGGGGAAAGATCTTTGGCACCCGAAAAGCAACGGTTGTCTTGACAACCAGGCGTTGGAAGCCAGGGGAGGGTTGGGACAGAGCAGTTGCCAAGAATCAGCTTTTGACAGCTCCAAGCAGCAACTTCCGGCACTGAAGGCATGAATCATCGCGTCACTTCCTGCGTAAAGAGCCACTCGTGCACTCGAATTGGCTAGCCTTCCTATTTGGACGGACGTCCCGCCCTCTGGCTGTTTCCCGGCTGCGGTGAGTCTGTAGTAGAGATGGCGGCTCTGACTGACGTGCAGCGACTACAAGCCCGAGTGGAAGAGCTGGAGCGCTGGGTGTACGGACCCGGCGGGGCGCGCGGCTCGCGGAAGGTGAGTAGTCTGGTCCGATGGTCCGTTTCCGGAGCAGAGCAATAGCGGTCCACTGTCGTGGCCTTCGGGATGCAACCGCTCCAGTCCTGTTCTCCACAGCCCAGCCTTTGAAATAACAAAGGTCAGGGACCTCCCAGAGCCGATTGGACCCTCGGGGGTCCATTCTCATAGGGGGCTCTGCAAGTGGTTAAGCCTGAGAGTGGGCTCAGTACCTACTCTGACTAAGACTCCGTTCCGCCCTTGCCCTCGCGGGCTAGTAGGGGAGACCTGGCACACTCGAGAAGCTGACTAATGAGTTTCAATAAGAGCTGAAGTCCATGATAGGAAGGCCCGTCATGGAGCCCTGCGTAATTAATTGCCAAATGAATTGTGCAGGAAGAGGTCCATGGGACCCCTGAGGAGACAGAGCAGAGGTGCATAAGGAAAGGTCCAAAGGATGAGAGGTGAGGTCTGAAAGAGCCAGGATTAGGAAGGAATGAGTACTAGGTATTCAGATGTGGACTAGCACTACTTTATACTAGTGGTGGAATTTTGACAACTACGAAGCTCAGGTGCCCTCTCCTCCCATTTCCACTGTGGGAAGACCTTTTACTGAAGAACTTCTGATGACGTGTCAGGCATATCCTGGAGCTAAGTGCATCCAAGATAATGATGTCTGTTTGTACACGAAAGGAGGAATTAGTTGCCAGTAGCAGACTGCTCCCATTTCAGAACTAACTTCCCAACATTCTCTTCCTTTGGGATCTTTGATGCTCACCCTCCTGGTTTACCTTCTACCTCTCACTGCTGCTTCTCAGAATTATTTGCCTCCCTACTCGCATTCCTCACCCTCTGCCCTAAAGACTGGGTGAGTGCAGTCACTTCCTTAGTGTCCTCCATTTTACCCTTTAATACTGGGATTCCTTACATTCTACCCCTAAACTTTAGGTAGGCTCACTCGCCTTCATAGTGTCAATTACTATTTGCATGTCAATGTGTCTCAAATGTATATCTCTGGTGCAGATTTCTGTTCTGAGAACAAGACTTGTATGTCCAGTTGTTTACTGGATTCTTTTCCACTTGGATATCCAATAGGCACCTCACATTCAATTCATAGGTTCTTAACTGTACTCCTCCTCTCCCCTAACCCAGTTTTCTTCTGTATTCCCTAATTCAGTGATTTCACCATCATTGGGATCCCAATTGTCTTGGACTCTTACATCTCCCACACTAAAGTTATTTTGGAGGGGATAGGACTAGATGTAGGCCAGCCAGTCTAGAGGTCATGAAGGCTTGAATGAGAATGCTTGCATTTCTCATGCCCAAACCCAGGGCTTAGGAACTAGAAAATATATTGTGTATACAATATATTCCAAAAACTCTAAAATAGTTCATTATCTCCCCCATATTTGAATCTCCCCAAGGAGTACATGACTCTCTCTCTCCACTTTAAGGATTCCTAGAAGGTGGGGCTGCATTTCCTTTAGTATTAGAGAAGGGAAGCCAACCTAGAGAATCTGGGAGAAAAAGGGTTCTTTACCTCTTCCAAGCCTTGAGCCAGGTAGTATATCTTGCAATTAACTGCCACTTCCCTTACAGGTGGCTGACAGCCTGGTCAAGGTGCAGGTGGCTTTGGGGAACATTGCCAGCAAGAGGGAAAGGGTGAAGATTCTGTACAAAAAGAGTAAGTGCTTCCATGATATGCCTACCTGCCCAACATCCCATCCCTAGGCTTCCTGGGACCTGGCCCTGCCCCTTCAGTTCAATAGGTCACTGGAAAAGCCCTTTGGGGATAGAAAGATTACGGGGACACTTACCTGCACCCAATTTAATTGGTAAATTGAGGTGTGCTTTTCTACCTTGTGGATAAACCTCAAGCCCATGACTGTGTCCTTAGTTATGAAATAAGTGCTCTGCCTGAAAGCTTCTCTTGCTGAAGGAGGGTAAACAGGGTTTGGGATTTCCCAGGCAAGGTTAAGAGGCAGGAAACAAATTAGACACTGAGAGCCTGGTTATGTCAGAGCTAGTAACCTGCTTAGTAACTAGAAATTAGACAAAGCTCTGACTTGTCTTGGTGGCATCTAGGAGAAAAGAGGCCTTGGTGAGGATAGGTCAGTGAGAATGCTGAGGGCCCAGAGTGTTGGTGGCAATTGTGTTTTCAGCTCTGAAGCTTGAGGTCAGAAGAGACCTCAAGAGAAGAGAGTGGGGAGATAGAGAAGTGGGGATAGGGAGCCTGGTGGAGCCCTTCTCATGTGGCACTGTTGGGTATCAGCTCTTCATTGAAGGCTCTCCTCAAGGCTGACCACCTGACAAACATCCTACATAAGACAGCTCTACTCCCCAACCCTATTCCATTTTCCACCTCGCTACTTTTCTAGTTGAAGATATGATCAAGTACCTGGATCCTGAGTACATCGACCGCATTGCCATACCTGATGCCTCTAAGCTGCAATTCATCTTAGCAGGTAATGCTGGGCTACATGTGTACCTGCATCTGAGGATGTGGGTCATTGGGTAGGTTAAGCACAGAGATGGCCTCCCCATCCAGTCTTCTGATGGATACAACCCCTGGATGCTGCTTTCTGGAATTGTGGCCTGGTTTTGTGTTGAGAATCCTACGGATCCTCTAGTAGACATTGAGTACAGTATGCCTCTGGAACAGCTGCAGGCCATGGTGTCAGCCACAGTGGGAGCTAGTCCAATGTTCTATCACTAGCCTGCCTCTTGGATTTTCCTTCAGAACCTTCCTCACTTTTGCTCACTAGACAGATGAGCTTCTAGGAAAGGGTAGGGGCAGAGAGCATTGCTGTGAAAGAAAAGAGAGAATATTGGCATGAATTTCAACATCTTTCTTTCATGTGAGAAAGTGCTGCAATTTCAGAGTTCTAGGTAGGAACTATTGCCTTAGCAATGTCTGCTATCAGTCAGCCACTCTATAAGCTAGGATTTTCTGAGCTTCATTATTCATCCAAAAGATGTATAATGAATGATCATCTACTCTGATCCAGGTTCTATCCTAGGTGAGGAAGCATACAGTGGTTAACCAGAAAGTCCCTGCCCTCATGAGCACAGCCCATGCTAGGGGAGACAGAGTCCCTCCTGCTTCAGGGACCTGAGCTTTTAACCCAAATGTGAGATTAGTCTCCCAAAAGACTGATCAGTGCAATGCAGCATTGAGGACTGGATAAGATTGGGCAGCTCCTGCTAAGAGGGCTGTCAGAGTTCCCAAAAGGCTCTTGATCAATTGTCATGGCTTAAGCACCAAGTACAGATCTTCTACTGCACTGACTCTTGAGTCCAGCCTCTCCATGTCTCCCTGTGGCACTGCCTCAGGAACTATACATCCAGTGCCACACGAACGGTTGCACAGTCTCCTAAATCATACTCTTAACACTAATCTTTCCCTTCCTGCATGTGGTTCAGTCTCATTGTCACAAAAACATGTTTCCAACATGTTACTTTGCCTACTTTGGAATCTCCTGCCTTGCTAGGATAAAGTCCTAATTCCATAGTCTGCCATTCAAAGCCTTCCTCTGCCGGGTCTACCCTCCCATCTAACTCTGTTTCCTGTGTTCTCCCTGCTCCAGTTCAGCTAACTGAATTCTTTCTCCTCTACTAATTGACAAGTATTCCTGCCTCTAAGCATTTGCACATAACAGTCTCCCTCTTGAATACCTTTCCCACTCTATGGATTTCAGTGCATTGAAACCCCCTGTGCATACAGGGCCTACCCCAGATCCTGCTTTTCTCACTGGACTCTCCCATTACTGTCCCAGCTCTCCTTCGGCATATAATTCTCTATGCTCTGAGAGCCACTGAGCAGAACCTGCCTGGTGTAGTCTGCCACATATCTCCTTTTTTAGATCTTCCCAGGGACCTCTGGGTGTGGGGATCCAAGTCTGAAGTACTTTGTATCCTGTAGCCTAGGAGGTATTCCCTGAGTTTGTTGATAGGAGACTAGAAGAAGAGGCCTTGAAGTTAAACCTTGGAGAAAGGTGGGATTTGGAGTAATTGAGAGGCTCCTTAGGCTCAAATGGGTCAGACCTGAGGCATCCAGGAAAGTTGGGGGCAGAATGAAAATGTGCATCTAGAGAGGAGGGCAGCAGGCAGAGTCACTGCAGAAAGCTCTAGGACCTAGCTATCTCCCTTGCCAGGTCCTCAGGCCCTTACATGGGCTGAGTAGCAATGCCCAGATTTGCTTCACTGCAACTGTCTTGTCCATTTTTGCTTTAGAGGAGCAGTTTATCCTCTCCCAGGTTTCGCTCCTGGAGCAGGTGAACGCCTTGGTGCCCATGCTGGACAGTGCTCACATCAAAGGTATCTCTCCGGGGCTGCAGCATCACTACTGTGGTTGGGAAGGTGGGTGGATGGATGGGCAAGACTTTCTTGTGTTTCAGGTTGTGTGGATTCAGATTGGGTCTGTTCCTTATCTCTTTCTTTTTTTTTTTTTTTTTTTTTTTTGAGACAGTCTCAATCTGTCACCCAGGCTGGAGTGCAGTGGCACAATCTTGGCTCACCACAACCTCTGCCTCCTGGTTCAAATGAACTTCCCACCTCAGCCTCCCAAGTAGCTAGGATTACAGGTGTGTGCCACTACACCCAGCTATTTTTAGAGATGGAGTTTCACCATGTTGGCCAGGCTGGTATTGAACTGCTGGCCCCATGTGATCCACCCACCTCGGCCTCCCAGAGTACTGGGATTACAGGCGTGAGCTACTGTGCCTGGCTAGTTCCTTATCTTTATTCTTACCCTGGGGGTACTTGCCACATCCACTGGATTAAAATTACCAGAGTAGAGAGCCCAGTTTTAGGACTTTAGGCAATTGGGGCCTGAGAACACTAGCCTAAGCTCTAGCAGTCCCCAACTTTGGGGAGTCCTTCTGCCTTCTACCCACCCCCAAGCATCTCTCTTTCAAGGTGCTGCAGAACCCAGATTTTACTATCAGAGTCTCTGCCAGGTGCATGAATGTATGTGAGTTCTTTCTGTGCTGCACTGCTGAGAGCAGTCCCTGGGCCTGGACTTTGACAAGCAGACAGTGGCTTTAATTGAATCCAGATATCCATCTTGTCTGTCTCTGGAGGTATTTTTCCCAGCTCCCCCTCCTTACCTCTGATCAGCTGCCCACTGAGTATCTGACAGCCTTAAGCTTTGAGCCCAGCATGGTAGCTGAGCCTCAGGGTGTTGGATTCCAGCTTAGGGACCTGGCATCCATCTTCAGGCTTCCTATTTCCTAGGCTAGGCAGACCTGGCCCCGCTGGGCTGAAAGCAAAAGGACAATTCCCATGATAGCCAAAGCTCTCTTTACCTGTTCCTGCTTATAGCACTGGGGTGGGGTAGGGGACAACACTGGGAACCCCAAGGTTTTTTCTTCTCCTCGGGACATGTATCTTCCCCTCCCCTATGGGTCCTGGAGTAAGACTGGAGTGGGCAGGGAGCCCCACCGCCACCTCCAGCTGCAGTGGTCGATGAAGTCTGGCGTTTGTTTAGCTTCTCCACTCAATACTCTAATCCTGCCAAAGACCTAATAGACTATTGAGCAGTCCCAGGGGAGGGCACAAGCATCATCCAGCAGTATTCGTTGTTTTACAGCTGTTCCTGAGCATGCCGCTCGCCTGCAGCACTTGGCCCAGATCCACATTCAGCAGCAGGTATGGGAGGGTAGAGGACTAGAAGGGAAGATAGAGGTGGCACAGCCCCTTGTCCCCACTCTTGCCACCTGGGGAAGCAAGTTCAGGCCCTTCTGATGTACGCTCAGAGGAAACTTTGGGGTTTATCCTTTATCTTCCATATGTCCCAGTGAAGTAAAGGGACTTGCCTAGGTTCATGTCCAAACCTGCCTCCCAGAGCAGGGCTTTATTGAGACACCATAAGGTTGAGGCTGGGAGGTACCCAAGAATTCCTGGGGATGGTATGTCCTTGACTATGAGTGGAGGAGCTCTTTTTTCACTATTCCCAGGCCCTAGTGTAAAGTTCAAAGAGAGTTCAAAAATAAGGGCACAAGAAGAGGAGACATACACTAGGGGGAATGTTTACTTAATGTATGGCCACTCCCTTTTCGATCAGTCTTTGAACTGCTGTTAGGGCACCCATCCTGGAGCCTGAAAGTTCTCCCATAGCCATTTGTTCCTTTGGCTTTGGGATTCAGCATCATCTTTTTTAGGCTCTATGGGGAGTGGGAGTCCTTGATGAGGCAGGAAGTGTATTGTAAGATAAGGGCTTTACCCAGCTCCTTCCTATGCTACACTTTGGCCCTACAGGACCAGTGTGTGGAGATCACTGAGGAGTCCAAGGCTCTCCTGGAGGAATACAATAAGACTGTATCCTTTCTGCTCAACTAGGACCTTGGGTGTTGTCCCCAAGCCCTGTCCTTCTGTCCCACCGCTAGCTCTCTCTCATCCCATCCCACCCACCTGTATTTGCCTTCTCCCCACTTTCCATGCACTTCCTCACTCAGACGCCTATTCTCTCCTTGACCTACAACCAGACAATGCTTCTCTCCAAGCAATTCGTGCAGTGGGATGAACTACTTTGCCAGCTAGAGGCCACCAAGCAAGTGAAGCCAGCAGAGGAGTGACAGCTGCTCCCCATCCCAGGGTGGGCCTGGGCAGTCAGGCTCCAGGGCCCTATGCCAACCCACCTTTGTTACAAGGCAATGGACGCTTTGTATTTATTGGATCTGAGGCCCACCTCTCTGTACTCAGGTGGGGCTCTAAAGTTAGAGGTCAGGTTACCTGAAATTTCAAATTTGCAACGCCCACCCTCTCCCCCATCAGTGTTCTTATTCCAGTGAAAATAAACCATAGAGATGACTGGAGGAGTGTGCTGGCTTCCTGGTTTAGGTTGGGGGTCGGGGGAGGGGCAGAGGTGTCAGCCCTAATGGCTGGACTGGGAAGTAAACTCATCCTGGTCTGGCTTTCTGGCAGGTGTAGCACTCTCAAGATGAAGGCTCTCATTTGATGATGTGAATGGGATATTCCTTTATATATCCATTTAACCCACGTTTACTAAGAAGAGACCTCCAAATGTCAGATGATGGGAGTAGATGTGGCTAACCTAATCCCTGCCCTGCACTAGCTAGCAGTATACAGTAAAGGAAAAGGGCAGTCCTATCAGGTGGGCACAAAAGAAAAAGGGACTGAAGGGACCTGGTAGGTGATGTGCAGGGACTTTCAGAACCAAGGAAGCAGCATGTGCAAAAGCAGAGAAGAGCCTTTAAATTTCTCTCTTGGGAGCCTACCTGGTGCCACCAGCCGAGAAGGGCAGCCTAAGAGGTTTGGATGCAGGAAGCTTTGGTCCTGGGGAGGGGAAGTTGGGAAGTAGGGGTGCTGGGGCAAGCACGTTGAGAAACAGATTGGCCCCGCACTCCACCAAATGTTTGCTGCCCCCTTGTGGATTCACGGAGTGCTCTGGCTCCAGACCCTTTTTCCAATGGCCCGCTGACTGCCCCGCCTGCACGACCTCACCGGCACCTCAAATTCTGCGTGTGCAAACTGGTCTAAAACCCGGGAGACATCCTGGATCGGAATTCCCTACTTCTCCGTCCAAACAGTTGCCAACTCGAGACTGAACCTACCTACTAGTATCTCCCGACCTAATCTTTTTTTTCCATTCCTACTACTTTTTCTCTGGTTCGTTAGTTTAACAAATCATTTAACAAATATTTGAGCGCCGATCATACGCCAGACACCATACTAGGCTCCGTAGGCACCCCTGCCCTCTCAGCCCCCAGACTCCGCGGCCAGGTGTCGTCAGGGGCTGCGGCCTGATTTCCCCACCACTCCTCGGCTCTCTGCACAAGATCTGGTTCGACAAGCCGCTGGAAAACCCCCGTAATCCGCCAGCGCCCACAGGATGAGGCTGAAGCCCAGAAGTCGGTAATTAAGGCTCTCACCTCTGCAACAGCGGCCTGGGAACTAAACTCATCCTGGTCTGGCTTTCTGGCAGGTGTAGAGCTCTCAAGATGAGAGCTTTCAAGATGAGCTCCAAACTGAAGCTCCTGCTCGCACTCACTGTGAAACCCACTGCTCCCCTTTTGCTCAACAGGTAACGCCAGCCCTCCCCATCTTCTAAGAGCCAGATTCCTCTCCTTCAGACGCAGGACTTCTCTGACGGCTACTCCTTTCTACCGCAGGATATCTTCCTGCCTCCCTCCAGGGCGTTACAGTGGAGACTGCGCTAGTGTCCCAGCCCCACTGGGACTGCTCCGTAGCGGCCTTGCGGGTGGTTCCGTTTCCCGGCGGAGGCGCCTCGCGGCCGGACCCTCAGGCCCCGCCCCCTCGGGGCGTGCGCGGCCCCGCGGCCTTGGAGCTTCTGGGCTCGCGCGCCATCTTGGCTCCGGATCGGCAGTGAGGCGGCTTCGGTGAGAGCTAGAACCTGGCAGGCAGCGGGGCGCTCGGAAGTGGTGGGAGAGGGGACGCCTGCTGCTTGACCGCAGCGGCCGGCAGGACCCTGGAAACGACCAGGGCTGTCTTGGAATAGCCCGAGCAGCCTTCTGAGTCGAGCCTCTGCCCCTGAGTTTCTGAGTGACCTGGGTTGATATGGTTCGACCCTGGTAATCTCTGGGAGAGCGAAGTCAGTTCTGCTTGGGGGCAGCACTGGGTAAGGGTCCTTGGTTGTTTTCCGGGGGCCCTGGGGCGAAGTGCCTTGTCCCTGTCTTTGTAATCCCCCAAGTGACTAGCGCTCTCTATTGGTATTAGTCTGGGGTGAGGGTTCCAGGCCCTGTTCCAAGGAATCCAGGATAAGCGGGACTAGGCTCCAGTTCTGAAGAGTTTCGGATGAGGGGGCCTGGCGTTATCCCAAGAGCTCGGTGTTTGGGGAATTTGGTGTTGCCTCTGGGACTCCAGGATTGGAGGTGGGGGTGTTATGGCCCTTGTAGAGGACGGGGGTGTGGGGGCTACAGCCCCTTCCCAGAGTGAGGCAGGCATGGCCCTTGTCATGAGATGCTAAGGACCAGGGGATACGATCCTGTTTCTGGGAAGTCTGGAACGGGGAGCAGGGCCACATCCTGAAGGGAGGTAAGGGATGGTGGACAGTGACCTGGGCACATGGCCTAGCACTCATCTGATGCTTCCGTGCAGTGGGCAGCGAGAGTCACAAGACAGCAAACTGATGGAGCACTACCGGAAAGCTGGCTCTGTGGAACTCCCAGCACCGTCCCCAATGCCCCAGCTACCTCCTGATACCCTTGAGATGCGGGTCCGAGATGGCAGCAAAATTCGCAACCTGCTGGGGCTGGCGCTGGGTCGGTTGGAGGGCGGCAGTGCGCGGCATGTGGTGTTCTCAGGTTCCGGCAGGGCTGCAGGAAAAGCTGTCAGCTGTGCTGAGATTGTGAAGCGGCGGGTCCCAGGCCTACACCAGCTCACCAAGCTACGTTTTCTGCAGACCGAGGACAGCTGGGTCCCAACCTCACCTGACACAGGGCTAGACCCCCTCACAGTGCGCCGCCATGTGCCTGCAGTGTGGGTACTGCTCAGCAGGGACCCCTTGGACCCCAATGAGTGTGGCTACCAACCCCCAGGAGCACCCCCTGGCCTGGGTTCCATGCCCAGCTCCAGCTCTGGCCCTCGTACCCGAAGAAGGACTTGAGATACCCGATCCTGAAGACCTGCTCAGCCAGGCTGTTCTCCAGGCCTGAATGTCTGAGATGTGTCTTTTCTGAAAAACCCTGTGACTGCTAGACATCCCCATCAAGGCTCAGATCCACAGAGGTGGGCCCCCTTGTCCTGCTTCCCCTTCTCTCTGGTATGTGGGAAGGGACTGCTGTGAAGAGTGACAGGTGTGGAGCCTCTGCCAAGTTCTGCATTGCTAAAGAAGGGTTTACTCTGTCTTCTACCTACAGTGCATCTGAACTGCCTTCTGACAGAGGTCCAGGGAGGGATTTAGAAAATAAAGTTTCTACCTATTTGATGAGACTCTACTCAGCCTGCTATGTGGAGTGGGATTAAAGAAATGGGAGTCCCTGCCCTTAGCCCCCGGGAGCTGATTGGGTGAAGAAAGAGGAAGAGTAGGCTCAGGCTGATGCTGGGAGGATCTAGTGTAGATAAGAAGCCTCAGTCAGTACTGAATATAGTTAATTCCCTGGGTAGTTGTTTGTACCGTTTTTGGGCTGGTTTAAGAACACTGTCAGGTCAGACATTTCTCATCATCTGCAACATACAGTATAGTATAGTGGTTGTGAGCATGGACTCAGGCACCAGCCTGCCTGGGTTTCAGTCCTGGTCTGCCACTTAGCAAGTTACTACTCTGTGTGCCTTAGTGTTCTTATCCATAAAACAGGAATACAATACTGTTTATCGCATAGGGTTGTTACGAGGTTAGATAAAGAAATACGTGACATTTAGAAACCACCTTGGCGCATAATGCTATTAAATGTTAATTACTATTATGATTATTAATGACTTACCTATCCCAAATGCAACAACTATCTCACATGTCCTTCCCTCCAGCTTCCTTGCCCTGATCTCAACTGTGGAACTGGACTCCTGCTTTGAAGAGATAGAGGCCTTCTGAACTCCCTCATGTTCCATCTTCACCTCCAGACCTATCTGTATACACATTTATCCTTAACTCTGCTAGTTTGCAAACATGCTTTTTTCTATCTTAGAAACATATCTTTGGGTTGGGCACAGTGGCTGATGCTTGTAATCCTCCTGAGGCAGGAGGATTGCTTGATCCAGAAGTTGGAAACCAGCTTGGGCAACATAGTAGTGAGATCCTGTCTCTACAAAAACATCCAAAACTTAGCTGGGCATGGTGGTGTGCACCTTTAGTCCCAGCTACTTGGGAGGCTGAGGCAAGAGGATTGCTTGAGCCTGGGAGGTTGAGGCTGCAGTGAACCATGATTGTGCTACTGCACTTCAGCCCAGGCAACAGAGTGAGACCCTGTCTCAAAAACAGAAAACAGGCTGGGCGCAGTGGCTCATTCCTATAGTCCCAACATTGGGAGGCCGAGACCAGCCTGGCCAACTTAGTGAAACCTATCTTTACTAAAAATACAAAAGATTAGCTGGATGTGGTGATGTGCACCTGTAATCCCAGTTACTCGGGAGACCAAGGCAGAAGAATAGCTTGAACACAGGAGACAGAAGTTACAGTGAGCCAGGATCGCACCAGTGTACTCCAGCCTGGGTGGCAGAGCGAGACTCTGTCAAAAAAAACAAAACAAAAAATACTTCAATCCCACATCTCTCTTCAGGTATCATCCTTGCCTTTTTTCCCCTTTGCTGCTCCTTTTCTGCTTCACCTTGGCCTTAAACTCTCAGGTCAGGGGCATGAGGAGAGAGGTGAATGTTGCATCAGTAGCCGGGGGCCTATGGGAACTAGAGCTGGATTACGGGCAGTAGTGAACTCTGAAGAACTGAATCAGTTGGGTCTCCCATGGATCTTGAGATTTTCTCCAATGTGTCCAGCAGCCTGGGTGTCCAGTCATGAGGAAAGCAGAAGGTTGGGGCTCTTCTGGGCTCACATTGTAGTAGAGTGGGCCCAGCAATGTAAGGATTTTGAAATGATACTTAACTGAGACCAGGCAAGACGGATTGAGATGTTGGGAGAGGGAATTGGGGAACTGAAGGTCTTGATAAGGGCTTAGAGGAGGGGTGAGGTGACCACAGGGCCAGCAGGCAGTGGTCAAAACTTTAAATACTGCATCCTTTGCTTTCAAAGATAGGTCAGCTCTGAGTGATGTGGAGGACCCTGGGGGAGGGCAGGTGATGAGGATTCAGATGATATTAGAAGAGAAAATCTCAGTAGCTGCTGAGCCAGGCCTATCAAATGCCCAGGTTGTGAAGCATCTAATACACCCCTAAAGGCAATTATGGCTGCAGTGGCAGTGACTCAGGTGTCGCTATCAGCAACTGACTGACTTCCCCCATTCTCCTCGAAGCTAATTCAGGAATTTTATTCCCTCTCAGCTTCTGCATACTGTTTTTTCTTTGAACATCTTCACTTGTGTGTCTTCTGCCGTCAGCAGTTCTCTGAGTATCATGGGATTTCCAGAGCTTTGAGGCCAGGCAGGCTACCTTGCACACTACTGACCTTTAGCTGATGATCTCATCCCATCTACTGATGGCCAGGGTGGAGGGCCATGGAATAATCATGGTAATCTGTGCTGAGGTAGCATTGCAAGTTCTGGAGTCCCAGGAAGGGCATTTTCTCTCCCTCTTTGGTGGAAGGGGTGATAGATAGCAGGAAAAGAATGTGGAGTACAAAGAGTGTTGGTTTTTGTTGTTGTTGTTATTGTTGTAGTTTTTAATAGACTAGCAGGGACTTTAGCATGTTTATAGGCTCACAGACAGAAGAAGCCAGTAGGAAAAGAGATGATGAAGGATGCAGTAAATTGTGAATAACTCACAGTATGATGTTCCTGAGCAGGTAAAAGCGAATGGGACCCAGAAGCATGGTGGTAAGGCCTCCAAAGGGAAGAGGAGGGATAACTTCCTGTAACAAGAGGGATGGAGTTAGGACGGATATGTATGCAGATAGGTCTGGAGGTGAAGATGGGACATGAGGGAGTTCAGAAGGCCTCTATCTTCTCAAAACAGAAGTCCAGCTCTACAGCTGAGAGTGGGGCGAGGCAGCTGGAGGGAAGGATGCGTGAGATGGTTGTTGCAGTTGGGAGAAATGACTAGGGAGAGGTGCAGGAGGATGACCAGACAGGGGTAAAAGCCCAGTGTAGGCTGATAGGGTTGTTGGTCAGGGTGTGTGAGCTCTAGCAGTACCCACGGGATAGGTGAGGATTCAAAAAAAGCACAGTTACATTCTTCCAGACTGATTTTAAGATAGGCAGGAATGATGGAAGATTAATGAGGAGACTAGCAAGAGAGTACATGTAGTGAAGGACCAAGGCATCCAAACTGTGCTAGGAGGGAAGTGAGGGAAAGTGGACAGGGGACAGTGGCCTGGAGATCCCCATGAAGATGGGGTGGGGTGAGATGGACTATCCCAGGACAGGAATGCTATAGCTGTATGGGTTTCCTAGGCTGCTGTAACAAAGTGCTGTAAACTGGGAGGCTTAGAACAACAGAATTTATTGTCTCACAGTTCAGAGCTGGAAGTCTGAAATCAAGGTGTTAGCAGGGCCACACTCCCTCTGAAATCTGAGGGAGAATCCTTTCTTGCCTCGTCCTCGTGATTTGCCAGCATTCTTTGGCAAGCTTGACTTACAGGTGCATCATGCCAATCTTCACATGGCATATGCCTGTGTCTGCACCCCATCTTACCTTTTTGTGTGTCTTTGTGTCCAAATTTCTCTTTTTTGTAAGGACACCATTTAATACTGGATAAGGGCCTGCCCTAATGACTTCATTTTAACTTGGCTATCTCTATAAAGACCCTATTTCTAAATAAAGTCACATTCTAAGTTACTGGGGGTGAAGATATCAGTATTTGGTTTTGGCAGGGGGTGGGCAGTGGGAGTGGAGGGCACACCTAAAGAGTGGGAAGGTATTAATAAAATTGAGGGTTTTCAGAGCTGATAGGATTTGTGTCCATGAGAGTGGATAGCTGGAGGGCCTGGAGGAAGAGTCACTGAAGATGAAGCTGGTGAGTTGAGGCTGGGAAAGGTGAGGTGGGGAACATCCTGGTGGGCAATGGAGTCATCCAGGATGGAATGTATTGAGCATTCTCACTACCTGTCTTAGAGGTGGCATGTCTAGCCACCTCCTGTTTGTCCCCCTGAAATCGGGACATCAGAACACAATATGCCTGAAGGAGTTATGTGCCTCCCATATCCAAGCAGGCACCAAGTTCTGCCCATTTTGGCCTCTAGGTCTCCATCCCCAAAGCCTCTCTTGGTTTGTGCCACTCATCATCTCTTGGCAGTTTCCATACTGGTCTCCATGCTTCACTCCCCCCAGAGCTCTCCCCCAAGCCAAGCTGCTGGCTATTCCCTTTGTTTAGAATGCTTTTCCCCCAATACTTGCATGGTTCTCTCCCTCCCTCCTTTAAGTCTTTGATAAAATGTCACCTTCATGGGGTCTACTCTGGCCACTTCATTTAAAATTGTAGTCCAGCACTTTCAATGTTCCTTACCCTGCCTTTCCCCCTCCCCCAGTTTTTTTTAACCTCTATGATATGTACATCTTTAAAATAACACTTTTGTTTATTGTCGCCTCCTGATGAGAATGTAAGCTCCAAAAGGGCAAGGATCTTTGTTTCATTCCCTTATGTAACCTAAGGATCTTGAACATCACTTGGCATATAGTAGATGCTCAATAAATATTTAGCAAGTAAATGAATAAATATTGAGCCCCCCTAATGTGGGGCCATACTCAGATCTGACCTTGTCATTTCTCTATTCCCTTAGTCTCCATGCCAAGATTAGAGGACAGGATCCAAGTTCATTCACTAGGTGTTTTTAAAGGACCCCTTTGCTTGGCCTCTGCCCATGGCTTAGTCCATCTTTGGCCTTGGACCCTAGGCTCCAACTACACTCACCCTTCCCAAGTGTCATAAGATTTTCTGCCTCTGAACCTTTGTCCTTGTCATTCTATCTGCTTGGAATTCATCACGAATGTTCAAAGGACACTGGTGCACTGAGCACTCCCTTGGGGACTACCTCCCCTCTCCTCACTGTAATTGGCCCAGCTTTCACATTGATAGGTGATGTTCTGGCTACACTCACTTCTGACTTCAGCCACAAGGTGGCAGCATTTGCAAAGGGATAGCCCATTCCTTTCCAGGGTCTGTGCAGAAGGCCTCAAGAGTCCCAAGACACAGAGACTTGGAATTTGATCCTTAATGTGCTCAGTGACCCCTCAGTTATTTAAAAAACAGCTAATGATCATCCACAACGTGACAAATTTAGCCACTGGGCTCGGAACCTCCAAACCCACGAGGGCTATAACCACATATGTAATTTCCCTATGGAGGCCGGGCGCAGTAGCTCACACCTGTGATCCCAGCACTTT